TGGCAACTGCGGAGAGACTGGTCATAATACGCGCACCTGTAATATTATAGAGGAAGTATCTGAGGAAGAAATTTCTGAATGGTGTTTTTTAATTAGAGGCGTCGTGGTAGAGTTCTTACAATTTCAATCGCGAGTGTAGAAAATTTTGGCCGGTTCGCTTGTTTGGCCGGTTCGCTATACATGCACGTTATAGTATTTGTTATTATACTATATTATAAAGTACTTAACTAGTTATTAAGATACTATTATTTTATTTAACCTATACTCTACGTTATCGAAGTATAGAACAAAATATATAAAGAGTAGCTTTATAGTATTTAATATTAAAATCGTTAGTACTCTATCTATAAAATTTACTTAAAAATATCTTATTAAGTTTTTTATCTTATAGCTTTTTACGCTAATAGCGGTCTGTAGCTATCTTAATTACCTGGTTATAAGTAGGGCTAATACTAAAAGAAGGATTATATAAAGCTTTTTTATTATTATTATATTTATATAATAAGACTAAAGATACTTTAGATACTCTAGTAGAGGGTACTTTATTAAGATTATTAATTAATTTATTAAATTGGAAGAATTCTACTAAGGGTACTCTAGGTACCTTAATCTTCTTACTTTTAAATTTGTCCCTAGTCTTAATAGCGCTTACTAGTTTAGTAAAGCTATTAATTTAGTCTCTTATTGTGACAGACGTGCTTCAGGTAGAACTCAGAACAATTAACACTCTATTCTTAGGACAAAAGACGAGGAAAGAAGGAGAGCTCAAGAGAGCTGGGAACTAAATACAGGTCGTGCGCGCTAGCGCCTCGCTAAGCGAGCATGTGACATCCAGCCCTCGTGACCATAACCGTCACACTTATACGTTCTTTAACATTACCGAGTTATTTAATATCCTTTATATTCTAACGTCTCTAAGCGTTAAAACGAGCTTATCGTTCTATATCTATATTTCCGTCTAAACCGTGTTCTATTAGTAGATAGTTCTCTCTACCTTAGGGAAGTAAAAGACTATCTAGATCGCTAGTAATAGTATCTACTATCTTTTAGAAAGATAATATAAGTACTCTACTATCTCTAGTATCTATAGTATATTTTTAGAAGGTAGTTAAGGTAGTATAATAGTATTCTAGTATTTTATAGTAGTAGACTTATTAAGTACTTTTGGCTTATTTATAGTATAAATAGCTTCGTAAACAAAGTCTCGAAAGTATCGTAAGTCTCTAATCTATACGCGTGTAATACTAATTGGTCTTAGTTTAACTTTATTATTAAATATAAGGTGTAATATAGGAAGAAGCTAAACCTTAGTAATAGACTATTCCTATTATTAATGCACACCGAGTTAAAGGTATGGAAGTCGTACCGCCATAATATAGGCAGGACCAGCCTAGTCAGGTGGTCCGTGCCACCGAGTATATTCACTCGGATATTATAGCGACAGCCCCAGTTTGTAGCCAGAGTGCTTTTCCTTATGGCAGTGTTCAGGTATTAGTTACACAAGGTACTAACGAGGACAGCAACGGAAAGATATTAAGTAATGAAACCTGGTATATTCTATTCATTACGCAGTAAGTATAAACTTGGTCAATGAAATTTCCATCTACGCCCATTACAAAAATCCTTGACAAGTCTCTTTGCTCAATCCCTTTTATTCATAGTATAATATTCGCTAAATAGTCTTGGGATAAATACTTCTGTGGGACATATCGAATAGATACCTGTTCAAATTAATCACCTCATCATATTGGATAACAATATTAATTGGAAGTGTTTAGATTTTTAGTAATTGATCAACAAAATATGCCGAATCTACCGCCTTCAATTGACAAGGACAACACAGAGTAGATATAAAAGCCAAAAATTTTGCAACCACCCGCCCTTTCCCACTACCTCTTTAGTCCACTGCTCTAATTTGTTAGACCCTCTTGATCCTTCGGAGCCGGATTCGGCTCTTTCAGTCTCGCCTTTTCATCAAAGTATTTTCCGCTCATCTCTGCTGTGAACTTCTCACTAGCCCCAGTAAAAAGACTACTGATACAACCCTCATTCACAGGTCTTATTATGCCAAGAAATAGCAACACTGCGTGAAGCCAGCCGAGATACCATGGTGCTCTATCCCGATTCAAGTCATTCATTTTGGTATCGATGAATCCAGGATGTAAAGAGGCACTCCAGATTTCTCCTTTTCCTTGCTTTACACTTTCGCTCTCGGGTCCGAAGCGTGAATTGATGTTAGCAGAATGCATGACGTTCGCAAGTTTACTAACGCCGTAGCGACCGTGTCTCCCAAAGTTTTCGAGTTCTTTCTCGTCGTAGAGGATTTGTGTTGTTCCAAAAGCCGTCTTTTGATGTCTGTCGCTGGAGACGTTAACCACTCTGGCTGATCCAGGACCTTGTTGGATGGAGGTGGACAGTAAGTTTGGGAGTAGGTGATGTGTGAGAACCCAATGTGCAATGTAGTTGGTTTGCATTTGACTTTCGAAGCCGTCAGATGTTATCTCAAACGGACAAGCCATGATACCAGCGTTGAGTATGAGACCGTTGAGTGACTTTTCTATGGCGAGGAAAGTCTTTGCTGCTTCGACCACCGTGGAGAGGGATTTGTGGTCCATTATAAGAGGTCGAACATCGGCATCGGGGTATGATTCCTTAATTTGGGTGATCGCAGCTTGTGCTTTGGTTGAGTAACGGGCTCCGAGATAGACTCTTGCACCCTTCGAGGCGAGACATAAAACTGTGCTGTACCCAATTCCAGTATTCCCTCCTGTGACGAGGAAAACCTTCCCTGAGAGGGAAGGCAGTGATTCTGGTTTGAACATTATGAAAGGAATGAAAGATGGAAAAGATGAGATTAAGTAGACTTTGAGAAAATTGCAAGAATCTGGAGGAGGTAGAAATCGAGAATAGAAGCGCACCTTTATAGATATTTACACTTTCAAAGCCACTCTATTGTCAATTAACTTACTATGAATTCTTCTCGGGCTGTTTGTGGTTGTCATGAGTAGCATTGTGTCCAAGACATTGGACAATAACCCAAATTTACTAACGGCACCCTATTCGCCTAGATCCACGTACACGGTGCGAACCCAGCAACGATGTATAAAACTACTCATACTTGCATTACGTTCTATTCCTAATGTGGTAATTAATGTAAGCCGCCCGCTCAGACACTACTTGGTAAGTTCGTGACGACGGCTTTCACCTCAAATCTGTACAAAAGCCCAGGTATCACCTCCCTTTTTTTCTCAAAACGGAAATTTTAGTAATTTCACATGCTATCAGAACAATTATCAAGCAATCCAAGACTCAGAGATCGACAAAAGAAGCTTGGAAGCTAGATGACGACTGGTCCGAGGTGAAGGAAAAGGAAGAGAGGAAGAAGAGACAGAATCGGCTCAATCAACGAGCCTATCGAAAAAGAAAGGAACCGAAAGAGTCAGCGCCTGGTAAAAAGCTTCCATTTCGTGTCGAACGTTTTCGAATTACGGAGGTTTCTCCTCCAATCGTTAAGAATATTTCAGCGACCAAGGCAAGACCAACAGAACCTTTATCAGTAGCGAAGCCCCATGGTACCACAGCAAACAGTCTTGCAATCTTTCAAAGTAGTCCAGGAGAGTGTATTGTTTCTACAACATCTGCTGGCTGCTCCAGAATTAGCACATTCCCCGACGCAGCTTTACGAGCCAACGAGCCCAGAGAGTTAACTCTCATCACGTCATGTCTCAAACTACCGCACACGTTCCTCAATCCACGCAGTTCATCCTTGATGGTCAACATCCCATGGGAGCTCCTACCTATCCTTCATTCCCGTTGTGATCAGACCACTTGATCCATCTCATTCATTTCAACGTTTTCCGTGCTCTCCTCGCCAACAAAAGTATTCTGAATACAAAAACAGTGCTGGCAAATGACGACCGCAATCTCATTTTTCCCTTGCCTTACGCGCTCTGTGATGGCCTGACACTTATATACCCAAAGCCTCGGAACCTCTTCCACAATCGCTGATACCAACCGCTACTCAAATGACCATCCCACATACATCTTGGCTCAATATGTTTCCATATCTACAACTCAGAGATAACCTGATTTTTCATCAAAACGAGTTTAGCCACGTGGACTTTTGCAATGACCTCTGGGGCGAGTTTTTCTTATGGAATTTTTCGGGATACGAATCCTCATTCGCGGTTTGTCCACCCAGCTCCTCTGTGACAGAAATCGGAAGTGATTTGGAATCGGATGATGTCGACCTTGCGTCTGGAAAACGGGGCTTGATTGTTTGGGGGGAGCCTTGGGATCTGAGCGGATGGGAGGTGACTGAGGGGTTTGTGAGAAAGTGGTCGTGGTTACTTGAAGGTATATTGATCTCTTTATTTCTAGCAACTTCTGGAGAGCAAAGAGAGATCTTGAACCGTTGGAGTATCCCTTTTCAAAAGTTTTACGAGAGGGGATTTGAAGACTTTCGCTGTTTCTAAGCTGCGTGAAGCGCGAGCATAGGGACAACTCAACGGAAACCCAGTATGATATCTTCTGTTCGTTGTATCAGGTTGGGCATTGTTAATGTATAAATATTCGTCACATGACTTAGTGATCTTTCTTTTTGCAAACACAAACAAGCAGGGTTTATTATAAATATGAAACCCAACCCTCACTACCACAGGCTCATAGTTCAGGTTTCCCCAAAAGAATTTGAAATCGAGAACTCAAGCATGGTAAACCTACTCATCCTTTCCCTCAAAATAGGGCGTTTTGTAGAATCAGGGAATAAGTTTCTGCAGATCTTGAAAGACCACGATAATACTACTGTGTACGGGTCCTTCGGAGTGAATGAGGCGAAGGATATCCTACTACTACATGAAATCAATATTATCATACTAACAGATTGGGATCCGCACCTTGAGAACCGGGGCCTTTTTGCAGAGGTCATAAGATGGATGCAGCATGAAGAAAGGAAAAACACCCTCATCCTAGGTTGTTTCTTCCACCAAGTCTTACACACCGATTCCTTTGAGAGATACATTGAATGCTGGCTACTCCCATGGCGTCTACAGATTAATAAGACCCCCAGACTTTCGTTTTGAACCCAGAAAATACTATCTGTAAATATCAAAACTACTCTTTCCGTGGTGTTGAGTATGTTAAAATTACGGAATTTATTCGACACGTTCGCCGCGACGATTGTCTCTATTATAAACCATCCATTGTTAACCAGAGAGAACAGGACATTGCCAGCGATGATGCTTCAACGCCATTCGCATTCCTGCGGCCGAACAGTTATATGGGATATTCGGGTTGCCTTCCGAACGTCTATATGAAAAGAGAAGTGATAAATATTGTCCTTGGGATGTGTGGTCTTGAAGGAGTTCATCAATAGGCATTGAGTCAAGACAGGGTTACTCTTGGCCCACAGAAGGGCAAGGATACAGGAGACCTTAGTATTTAAGCATATCAGTAATGAAAGGTGTGCTCGACTAGAAATGGCGTAGATCTTGGTTCTATGTACTGAGAGAATACATGTCAAAAGTCTTCTCTGACATTGTATCACTACGGATACGACTATCCCACCAATAAGCGAGAATTCCTTGAAGCGTTTAGAGTTGGGATGGGAACGCTCAAACATCAGTATTACTACGCACATACTGCGCACAATACTCTACCCACATCTTTTGTATAGACCCTCTACATAGACCCAAAAAAAATGATATGAACCAGAGAAACTGCCATTTCAACATAAGATACTACACAAAAACACCAAACTTCGACAGAGAATTATAGTTAAATTATCATACTAAAAACCATTTATCTACAGTAACCCAAGGGCTCACGATTTCACAAAACACTAACCTGTACTTGCGTACCCTGGTGGACCGCCGTATCAGAAAATATTAACCACCCATTTGAGCGACCAATGACAGTGTGGCACCACAGCAATAACGAAAAAGTAAAAATGTAAATAATTGTGAAAGCAGCCCAACAAAATCCTACAAAGACCTCATTTATCTCTAGCGAATTCCCCAACATGCACAAGTGAAAAACCCTTCAACTTCTTCCAACCAAAATTCCAAACATCCCAATCAAAAACAGTGCTCCCAAACCTAATAGTTGCCTTGCCACAGATTAAGAAAACATGTATATTGATTCAATGAATCCAAGTTAGCGGAGTACTTTTACGGTAGAATCACTCACCTCTTACTCAAGTAGTGCAATCGACTTCTCTACTGAGTCTACTCAACCCTACTCAATTCAACACAATCCTAAATTACTACTACTTAGTAGTCCTCAAGCTACTAAATATCCATTCAAGACAATAGACAAGACAATACAAAACAATCGAAAGAACCGACGAAGCCAAAAAAGTAATGCACATCAAAACCCAGAGCTCCATTCAATAATTTTTACATATCCTCTTCACTACAAGATAAAGTAGGCACTATACATGGAGATAACCATCAAAGAATAAAGAAATCTGACAACTATCTCCTTGTACTTACTTACCATGAAGAAACAGGTATGGAACGGGAAAGGTAGGTATTTCTTAGGTACTGTAGCTGTTAATAGAGAAGGAAATTCTGGTGTAGATATCCATGAACACTTACTCAATTCTTACACTGCTTAATAAGTTTGCTTGCACTAAAGAAAACTCAGAGGAAAAAGGAAGGACGTCTAAAAGGAGGATCCTCCAAAAAATTTGGTTGGAAAGAAGAATCATGCATATCCCAGCATTGTATGGCTCAGTTGCGCCAGGAAAAAAGAAAAGAAAAAAAGAAATACAACAACACGCATGACGAGCACACCATAATATGTTGAAATTTTATTGGCATGATTATCTTATCTACTCTGGAACCCAGATCCCAACTCCGTGCTAGTATATCACTCAAGGGACCATTAGTTGTATGTCCGCCTCACACCCACCCAACACTATTTACCCGTTGCCTCTCAACCAGTTTTCTATTCCAGCATCTAAAAGACGACCCTCTAGAATGCGAAAACCTGGTCCTCGAGCTTGCTAACTGGCTTTCCTTTCTGGAAACCTAGGGACTCGGCCGATTTCTTCATGGCGCTGATCATAGGTGGTGGACCACAAAGCAGGAGCTTCACGTCATCTGCGGCCTTGGGAAGCCATTTCTATATTTCAGGTTAGTAAGCCTTGGGGGAATTGTGGATCTCAGGGAAACGTACAATTATCATTTCAGGAGTTACGAATCCAACACCACCGTCCCAGTTCTCTGGTGGGTTGTTCAAAACGTAGTAAACTCTGAATCCCTTGTCTTCCGCAGCCAATTTGTCAAGATCTTCCTTCAACAGAATATCCTCCTTGTTGACATTGGCGAAAATAAGATCAATCTGGGTCTTGTCACCAGTTGGACGTCCTCGAATAACTGCCCGGATAATTTGCAACATTGGGGTGATTCCAGTTCCTCCAGCAATCATACCGAAATGACGGACCATGTTTGGAGTATAGACCATTGCACCCTTAGGACCTCGAACCTTGATTGTTTGACCAACGATGAGAGATGCCATATATTTGGAGATATTTCCGGTTGGGTAGGATTTGATGAGGAGGTCAAAGTAACCTGGTTGGTGGTCTCCGGAAATCGGGGTGTATGATCGAACAATTTCCTTGGACGTGCCATCTGGTTGTTTAAGAGTTGCGGCAATAGAGATATGCTGGCCGATAGGGAGGCCCAAGATGGCTGTTGGGGAGGGGAGACTGAATCGATAGCTGGGGAGGGGTTAATTATGCAAAAGCATAAGGTTGGTGGGGGAAAACTGACATGGCAACATTGTGCGAAATGATTGTCTTCTCCTTGAGTTCGAAACTTTGGAATTCTTTGGGCTTGAGGACGATTTGAGCTCCTGTGAATCAAGTCAGTTTCGTCTGGTCGGCCTCAAAAGGGAACATGCGCATGATGTTTCGCACTTACTATTGCTCCAAAATTTGTAGCCGCCCAACGTTACTGCAAGAGCAACGGCATAAGGAAGCCACTCGCTCTTCACAATCCAGCATCCAAAGATGAGGAGACCCGAAGGAATGTACACGCCATCAATGTACTTTTTCGAGAACAGGCTGTCGGTCATTTTTGCTTGCTGGGGGACCCAATACTTCGAGATTTTGTTGAGGTCGCGCGCGCAGAAAAGTTGAGACTCTTCCCTTATGTGCCTTTTCGAAAATATAGATAGCTGGTTGAAGATAACCTCTTGCCTTTGGTTTAAAAAGCACTGAAAGGGTCTGAGACCAGCAGCCGGGAAATCTTGCCTGATGTGTTGGATGGAATTCGTAAACCCGGAGTTCTGGTAGCTCACCACAAATATAAATTGGGGAAACTGTGACCAAAAGCGGGCACGGCCTCCGCATCGGCGGTTGGTTTTCAAGTCGCCGCCATTGTCCGTGGTGAAATAATGCAATTTGCTACACTCGCTTTGAATATATTTATTGAGTTTATTTCGTACAGGTATCAGTTTTCGGCATTATTCTTCATAGGATGGCGTATTTCAGATCTTTGCGGAAGCATTGAGCAAAAATGGTTGGCCTAGCCAGATGCAACGTTCCGAAATGCTTGTACTTTCTGATTCAGTTGTTCCTACCTAGGTAAGGTACTATAATCTAAATAAATCTACGACCAAGTGGTGTTGGGTTTGCAAAAATGGATCACTGGGATCAGGCAACGTGCATATTCCGAATGTGTTTGATATCAACTGCGAGATAAATTCGCCAGCTATCCGTAGTTGCAAGCTCGCCTTGACCTCTCCAACTTCTCTTGATCGCCCACTCCCGCTCTCCCAAGCCCTCATCCCTCCCGAAACTCAATCCTTAACCATGGGAGACTTACATCCACCCACCGAATCACGGGAATTCAAGGAGGATGACAAAGAGGACGAGCCTTTCCCTTACACCGAGTTGGACCGGATTGGCCTCGCTCAGAAGGACGAGGACTTCAAGCTCCATACCTGGGAGGATTTGAGAATAATCATAGGTAAGCGAGAGCTCGCATTCTGTTGCACTGGCTCTTCTTTCCAATGCCCCACCATATCACCCGCTTACACTGGCCAAGACACAAACAAACTGGATGTCCTCACCCGGAAGCCCTCAGACCTTCGCCGCTACACCTCATGGTGCCGTCAAGTTAAGAAAGAGTATGGCGGCGTCAGTGACTATGTCATGCAACATCGTCTTCCATGGGGATCACCTCCGTTTACATATCTCTCCTCCACTCCCTTAGCAGAGCCGGCAGATTATAAGATTTTGCTCAACGACTGGCCATACGGATTCACAGATGATATCACTCACATTGTGGTATGGAGTAAGACTCCAATTGCCACGGAAGAGGTCTCGGGTGATGTGACACCTGAGTCTAGGAGAGTGTTGAGTGAGTTCGTGAAGAAGACGTTTGTGGATAGATTGGGTGGTGACGAAGACCGGGTTTTGTGGTTCAAAAACTGGGTTCATTTGCAGAGTGTGAGAGCCTTAGAGCACTTCCACGTTTTGGTCAGACATGCAACCAAAGAGGAGTTGGAGTTCTGGACGGGAGAGCATAAATAGAATGGTGCAGCTGTTCCAAGGAACGAGATCAAGTAACAACGGATATACTTAGAGTCCTAATCATGGCTGTAAGACTAATGGGACCACTCATGCAGCTCTCCTTTGCTTTCTGTTTCCTGCCCCTGCTTGTTGCTCCTCTGCCATAGGTGCTTGTTGGCCTCCTCCACCCATCATTCCCCTAGCCATGCCTAAAAGTCCATAACCTTTATATAAGCCATAAACTGGTACCACTGACCACAATAGCCATCCCCAATTGCCCAGTAATATCACCGAGATCAAAGAAACCCAGGTGATCCAGATGATATCAAACATGTATTCCGTCAAGCCCTGTGCTGCGAGATCCTCCCCCGAACTCTTCAAAGCTTTCGTTGATGCATCAAATTTGGGTCTGCCAGTTGATTCGAGAATGAATTCTGCGATGAAGCAGGGGATCGATAAGATGACATACGCAAGAAACGACCGCCTCCTGAAAAGAATATTGAAGAGCATAAAAACAGCATTGACGATGAGAGTTCCGATGTGGAGATTATTGAGGGCTGCGGTGTTCGCTTTGGCGCGGTCCTTCTTAGCTTTCTGTGCCATTGCTTCGTAAAAATCGAAGAAGACTTGGAGAAGTTGGTAGAGCGGGCTTCCACTTGGGCCTCAGGTAGAAGAGATCGAGGGGTTGGAGATGAGGGTGGAGATGGATGTCGAGACGTAAAGCAAGAGACGAGGCTGAGGATTAATTTCTCTTGGTGTGGTGTTGTCAAGCGCTGTCAGGGCCCGTGGTTCCCACTGCAGTTCATTTGCCAGACACGTCAGGCACGCCAGGCACGCAAGGCTACACCAGCTCGCAGGGCTGGGATTAGGCAGGAGGCAGGCTGTTGGCCCGCAACGGAAGGTGCACTGGCCACCGATTCGCCGCCGCCATACTCGTACGCATTCAGAACCATAACATCGCGACCAACCTAACGCATCTAGAGGGAAAGATGTTCTCGGAACGGTCTTGATTGAGCTGTGCTTCGTTGCCCACCTTGAATCTCTCGAGAACCTCAACTTCATTCCCCCAAGCATCGTCATTTTTCGTTACTGTCTGTGGCCTCTTGTATAACCTCGTCCGTGGTGTTGTGCTTTTGCCGCCCTCACCTTGCTTTCGTTCCCTGCGCCATCGTTTTTTGTTATTCACGGACCTGACCCGAACACGACCTTCACCACCACGATTCCAACCTCGAATGTTTCTTCCCCCAGTCACAACGATCGATACACCCCCCGAATACATAATTCTAATGACATCCGGACAGCAGTAGCGACTCTGTGCGGCTTCAATCCTAAAGTCTCGTCCATCACCCGAAAGCGGCAAGAAGAGCCTAGTAGAGCTTGTTTTGCTGGAGAAGAAACTTTGGAAGGCTTCAAGGATAACCGATCAGCACTCAACCGTCAGCGGATCCCTTCGCTCACATAGCTTTCTCGGAAAATTTGAGCTCATATCGAGCCCTACTTGCTCCATCAACACTACAGGCGCTATGTCGCCCGCGACCTCGGTCGTTGCGGGCCAGTTGAGGCAGCTCATCCACTACCACATCGATAACAACCTCATAAATAACGCTCTGTTCTATGCCGAGCGACTGGCAGCTTACGACCGGACGACGAAGCTAGCTGAGAATGCATATTTGTTGGCTCTGTGCCATCTACGTCTCGGTGACAACGCCTCAGCGTACGAGTACAGCAAACCTGGAACAGCCAAAGGACCGCATCTAGGGTGTGCTTATGTATATGCGCAAGCATGCTTGGCACTGGAAAGATACAAAGAAGGCATAACGATTTTGGAAAAGTCAAGAGCATTGTGGGGAGGAAAGAATAGTTTTGGCAAACATACACAATATACCAAGCAACCTTACGCAGACGCTGCAGCATTCAGTTGCTTACTGGGGAAGCTTTATCATGGGTACGACAACAAACAGAGGGCTATCAGTTGCTTCGAGGAGGCGCTGAAGCTGAATCCTTTCATGTGGGATGCATTCACGAGTCTTTGCGATATGGGAACCAGCGTCCGAGTCAACAACATATTCAAGATGAATCCCGAAATGGAGGCTTTTTTGAGAGTCGGTATGCATGACCAACGGGACTTCCAGGACAGTTTTACAAGCTCGAGGGACCTCAGTAATCCGCCAAGCTTAGACCACGAACGGACTCGATCTGGCGTACAGCCTGTACCCATCGTCAACGATGCGTGTGATCCATTTAATAATGTTCCATCTAAATCTTTCACCGGAGGGCTATTCAGTGCAATCGGCATGTCACAAAAGCTAAACGAAAGCAATCCTAGCTTGACAAATTTGCCTGGGGTAGGTGGAGGAGGCATTGGGCCTGATGCACTGGAAACTCCAACTGGGCCCAGTGCGTCATTAGATGTCACTTTAATCCCAAGCCGCAAAGAAACTGGAGTGATTTCTGCCTATACAAATGAACCACCACAAGCTCCAGTGAGAAAGTCCCGAGTGATTCAAGGTCTGGGAATGGACTTCAGTATGGATGCCCCGAAATTGAGTCGAGGTCTTCCACCAAAACGCACCAAGAATGTGGTTGAACCTGCAGAGGAATCGGCGGCTACACGAGCTCTTCGACATTCGAATCTCGATCCTGCGCCTACGGAAAGGAAAAGAACAGTTTCTGGACAGGTTGTACCACGGCAAACATCAGAAGACCCTGGAGCACCACAGAGGAGGAGCATCAGGTTGTTCAATCGTGGCCCAACCACTAGATCTACTGCGAACGTTGCAACGGTTGGACCTGCGCCAGATAGGCAATTAAAGAAAGCAAGACCGCCAATCTCTAAAATCATAAGGCCCAATTCGACTGTGTCTACTGTTGGCAGACAGGTTAGTGGCAATAGAAAGCCTGTGGAAGACATCATGGAGGTTGACCAAAGAGAAACTGCACGCACCGCTCCCCAACCAGTTCCCACTCAACAACAGAGATCAGCTGATTCAGACGAGCAAGAGAAGGGATTGGAGTATTTGTTGCATCTTTTCCGAAAGTTCGGTAATGGCTATTTTATGCTTTCGCAGTTTCAGTGCCAGGAGGCATGGCAGATCTTTGACTCATTGCCAAAAGCCCAAAAGGAAACACCTTGGGTCATGGCTCAAATGGGTCGCGCTCTTTATGAGCAAGCTAATTATGCGGATGCTGAACGTTATTACAAGCGCATCCGACAGATAGCACCAACCAGGAATGAAGACATGGAGATATACTCGACCATTTTGTGGCATCTGAAGCGCGAAACTGATCTCGCGTTTCTCGCTCACGAATTGATTGATGCTTCGTGGCAATCAGCTCAGGCATGGTGTGTATTGGGTAACTCCTGGTCGCTTGCACGAGATCACGAACAAGCTCTTCGATGCTTCAAACGAGCTACACAACTCGATTCCAAGTTCGCCTATGCGTTCACCCTTCAAGGACACGAACATGTCGCCAATGAAGAATACGACAAGGCTCTTGTATCATACAGAAACGGTATGGCCGCTGACAAGCGGCATTACAATGCTTGGTATGGTGTTGGACGGGTGTATGAAAAGCTTGGGAATTATGACAAAGCATTCGCACATTTCAATGCAGCTTCCGTTATCAACCCAACGAATGCAGTATTGATATGCTGCATTGGAACTGTTCTAGAAAAACAAAAGCAACCACGCCAAGCCTTGAGTTATTACACGAAGGCAACTGAATTGGCACCTCGATCGGCCTTGACGAGATTTAAGAAGGCACGCGCACTTATGGCAATAGGGGAGCTCCAATCAGCACTCAAAGAACTGATGATTTTGAAAGATATGGCCCCGGATGAGGCCATGGTACATTTCCTCCTTGGGAGACTCTACAAAGCTTTGAGGGAGAAGGGTTCAGCTGTTCGTCATTTCACAATTGCGCTAAACCTGGACCCCAAGGTGAGTTTGTCGTACACTCCACATCCTCTAATTCTTACTAATATCTTTTAGGCAAGCCAGAATATCAAAGAGGCAATCGAGAGTCTGGAAGACGACGATGACGACGATGAAACGAGTATGATGGCGTAATGTTCTCAGTGCAATCGTCTCTTGACTTTCGGAAAAGCGAGCAAAAGTTCGCCTTTGTAGGCTTGGTACTACCGTCATTTCCTAATAAGATTCATCAAAATGCGCTTCTACATCTCTTCTTGAGGTGTTTTTGATAATAACTTTCTCTAAGTACTCCCGGCGTGGTATGATGATACGATATGGACGATTGTGAGGGAGCGAGAGTTTTTTTTGGCAGAAGGATACTTACTATGAAGCATTTTGGCAGGGGGTGGGGGTGTCCTTTTTCAAAGCATTTGCATTAGGAAAACGGCGTTCTTTTTTTTTCGGGTCAGGGGTGGGCTCACGGGATGGAGAGAGATGTGTGTGTTATTATTTTATTCCCCCTGAGAAAAGAATCATAGCGTATGGAAAACCTGACTGTAGATACGGAAAGGGGTTTGGCTGGGTTGGTTTTTTTCGACTTCTTTTCTGATTCTTTTCTGGTCACAGCGGATCACGAGGTGGTTCGGTGCACTGAATGAACACGTGAAGGGGTGGTTGATGCGGTGTGGTGTGTTTTTGCTCTTGAGTATAAAGAGATAGTTCGGTGCCGAGAGTTGGTAATTGGAGACTTGAGTTTGTTGGAATGGAATCCGATGATGTTCATTCTTATTATTATCATTCTTACGTGGTTCTTGTGTGTGCTACTTTTTTGTGTGATGTGGGGGTATTTGGATATGTGATATTCGCCATGGGGAGTGATTCGTGAAGTGTGTAATGGTTAACGGTTGAGTAAGGAAGTAATTTCGTCTTGGGTCAGCTAGTTAATAAGTGAGGGTAGGCTGTCACATGTAGAAAGTTTGAATTTTCTACTTCTGCTTTGAAAGCCTGGAAGTAGTAGGAATTGAATGTTCTGGCTTTCCCCTCACCATTCGTTATTCTTTTTGAGCAGTTGGGTGGCCAAGGCGGCATTTCTTGCCTTCGCTTCTCCGTCTTGCTTCACTATTTTGTTCTTCAGTTGCTATGGTGATGATATATGCACGTGACCATCTCATTTTTCGCGACATCGATACTCCATGAGAGTCTTCAGATCGCGGACAACTTGTGATTCTCGCATAGACGGATTGGAAGAAATGAAAGATTCGATAATTATCGACAATTTTGACATGGTGCCGGGTTCATCGAATGGGGGGTTTTAGGTGGGAGGTGTTGTGCTGTGTTGACATCATGGTATGGGGTGGTATTGGTAGAGAATGGGAGTAGAATCTGAGAGGACATATGTGTACTTGGGAACATCGTGAGATTTTCAACTGCTTTATGGCGGCTCAGGATGTCTCTACTCCGGAGAAAGTGGTGGCTGGTAAGTGTTTGGTGCGCAATTAGATGACGAAAAGTTCAACATAAAGTAGATAGTCTTCGATTTTGCATTGATTTTGTTTCCTGGACCAAAAGATCTTGGTAATATGATCGATTAGTAAAAAAACGGTAGCTTTTGCTTGCCTGTTCTCTTGTGGGAGCGCGCGACTCCGATTATGCGCCAAAACTCAACAACTCAAAACCGAATAATAATTTTGAGAATTACAAAAGAATCAACTTGATGTACGCATCCACAGATTCATTCACAGTGTCTTCAAGCAGAGGATATTACTGCTGCAGGAGCGGTGAGAAGGTATGTACCAGCCGCTTGGCCAAAAAGAGCAGATTCACCTCGATTCAATATCAAGCGACCACACAGAATTCACTTTTCTGCCAGCCCCCACCCCACAGATACCCACAAATGGAGCCTTTGTCCGTTATCATACAATGAGTGCCATTCAGATCTTAATGGGGGTTGAGTGAAGATTGGCTAGTATTGTATAACCCTGGTTTCAGGCTTGCCTGTTACCAACCTTCTTCCCGTATTCTTGAGCTAACTGTCGGGGTTGCCCGAGTTGATAGGAAGTGCGCTCTGTGTTCCTGGTGTTCGATCTGTGGAGTCCTTTAAACAAAGAGGCTGGGCAACGAAGCTAACTGATGATCCGAGACGATGAGCTAAGACGTGCTAGTATGAGGCGGGGAGCTTGTGCAAGCAGCAGTCAGACTCCCAACCGTGGTTCTAGTCTACCGTAAGTATTCCTCCTCCCTTCCTAACTGTGACCATAGGACATTGAGACCATCATTTGAGAGACATTTTTTGAACTTTTTTCGGATTAGTCTATGTAATGAGTAGCGATGACTACACTTTCTGAATGCGCATCGAGAATACCACATAAGAAGAGTTTACTTTTTGAAGTGTTTGAGAGACGACGCTCGTTACCATAAGTCTTTACTGCATCGCGACCACTTCCCCTGTGTGCGCGACAAGAATGGACACGAAGTTGCGCAACAACGTTGGTATCGAGAGGCCTTGCACCTCCACTAACTTGAATTACATTGCTTATCGAACTTGCCAAAGTTGTAATTCATTCCTTTCTTCGATCTATCTGTCTCATCCGATATCACTGGACCTACAAACCTGTCTTTCTATATTTTTTTATAGAACAGCGAGAAATGAAAATCTGGATCCAGTGCCTTCTCGAATACTTTAATTTGTGACTCCAAGGTGTTGTATAGAAACAGAATGACCAAGTGATGTTGAATTGTCGTCGTCTGAAATCATGCTTGTCTCGCCTAATGATGTTTCGCGGGTTGCCCCACTGTTTAAGGCGACCCCTGTCATTGAGAGACCCGTGGCGCGTCTTGAGGAACAAGACCGCGGGACATTCAACAACTCACAAGAAAATGAATGGTATCCAGCCATGGACTTTGTAAGAAATCCGATTCTATATACTATGCAGAGTGTACTAACAATCAAAATAGTGGTCGCGCTTAATCGCGGGTACCTCCCTCGCCCCCGGAGGCAACAAAGGGGCTTCCAATAATCCAGAGAAGCGTCTGGCACGCTTTAAGCGGGAATACAATGAACTTTTGGTAGGATGAATCTGACTCCGGCAATTTCTGGGACTTGAATTGACTTTGAGTAGCAAGTCTGGCGTGGCACATCGAATTTGGCCAGAGACTATGAAGCGGCGGAGGACATACGTGGTTCCATACAGGACCTCACCACGATACTGAGCGATGAATCGAGACGGCCACTACCCCACCCCTGCATCGTTTTCGCATCCTCGAAGCATGTTTATATACCGATTGGCAAGATTGCTACGACGTCATACAATGAAGGCATTATTCGAGAGGCGGTTGCGTTGTTTGCGACGTTGATCGATAGCGAGGAGGAGAACTTCGTGGAGAACGATGCCTTTTCGAAGAGTTTGATGAACCTGCTTGTGCGTATTACGGGGGCAAATAGCATACGGTTGAGCTCCGAGACGGAATCAGAAGTCGTGGAACTGTCCTTCAACATTACGACCAAGATCCGGCTTGATCCGGAAATACTGCCGGCATGGTTCTCTGCACAAGAACGTGAAGATATGGGGGATGACCGAGATGCACACGAGAAATTTACCGGGAGGACACATAAGGAGGACTTTCCGCTCTTCTATCTTCTGATAGACTATATACACCATGAAGGAAGAATCGGCGATTTTGCAAGGACAGGCCTGCTGTATATCATAGAGGCCGCTTCAAATTCAGTAGCGCTTGAGCAATGGATAGTTGAAAGCGATCTGGCGACTCTAATGGCGACTGGACTGGGAGCTCTGTATAGTCAATTGAGCCGGAAGCTGGTTATTGATTACCTTCCAGACGAGCTTCCCCCGATTCTAGCACTTTCGGATTATCAACATCCAATAGAGACTTCAGAGATCGTGAGTTCGGCGTCTCCGGATTTTCAAAGTCATATGGATACATTTCTGTCCCACTTGGTATTCTGGCAGGACGTCTTGAATCATTGCAAGTCTGTGGAGGTCAAACAAACACTTTTGGAGCATTTTCAAGTGATTTTTCTCCAACAACTATTGTAAGAACCCTGACCTATTTCGTTTTTTTACTGAAAGCTAATGAATATAGATATCCCTCTCTTCTCGAGTCCTCCGATGTTGACGGTGGATCTTCAGTGGCAGTTTTGACATATCTTCGAAGAATACTGGAATCCCTTGATCACCCTGATATGATACACCTGATTTTACACTACCTCCTCGCCCTTCCAATCACGGCACCTACACAGAGTGAGTCTCGAGCATCAGTAAGTGCCGCTAGGAAAAGAAAATCGATGGACTTGGCGACAATGATGGCTACAACTATAGAGGTCGTTTCAACGCCAGCTCTTTTCAACCTTGTGGATTTGATACAAGCGAGTCTTCGATCAGAAAGTGAGCAAACCATATCCGTCACACTACAACTTGTCTCTGTGATTCTAAAACGACATCACCGATATGCTGTAACAACACTTTTGTGGACGAGTCAGGTATTATCTGAGGAGTCCCAACGAACCATTGGAGCTCATGAAACGGAAATGGAGTTCTTATTGAACCTTGCTGGCTCTGTAGGAGGTGAGGGGAATTTAGATGAGATGTACGAAAATCACGTCAGGGATAGCATGAACATGCTGGAAAGCCATACTTGTTCGATATCTTTGATTGTACCAAAATCAGGAGGCGCCATGAAGTTTCCTGGCTCACAAGCAACAATACCTGGCGCTCCCCGCGACATTCGACCTCACACTCTAAGACCTGAAGACCCTATGCTGCAGACTTTCCTCGCCACGTTGTCGACGTTCTTTACCAATTCTATTGAAACGAATTTATCGCTTACGGGCGCAATCATGGATCTAGCAACATGTGGTTATATGCGCATAGATGGTTGGCTACTTCCTGACCCTTCAAAGTATGTCTATGAAGAGGACGAGGAGGAAGTTGAAGAAGATCCGTTGCTAGTGCCAGTAGGGGATCCAATCGATATTGAAGAGAAGGCCCAGATTAAATCACTTCGAAAAATGCGCCGGAATCCAAAATGGTCCTCTTCCAATATCCCTTCTTTCCTTACTCAGCTCAGCGCTCTGGTGGACCAAGTGCAGGCCTATCGAAATACAATTCCTCGATTTGATGAGCTTCTAGAACAACGTCGTCAGGCTTTCTCTACTGCATCTTCGCCGCCTCCACCGCCGCCTGTTCATCAGTCTCCTCGGCGTTCTACTTCTTCTACACGATCAGTGTCGCCTCCAAGGAAATCAGGCTTTGATACTCTGGCTCAACGTTTATTCACTGAGCTCAGTGGTGAAAACTCACCCTCTCGCTCAAACTCACCTAGAGGACGTCGAAGCCAAGACCGTAGCAGTGGTGGTGGCGGGCTTAGGGAAGCGCTTGGATTCTCCACGCCCAGCTCGAAAAAGCCCACCATGGCTCCGCAGTATTCGGGGAGTAGAACACCGTCAAGGGAAAGTTCTAGGGCTTTCAATTCCAGTCCCCTGAGGGATCCGGAGGGCAAGTTTGCTGCACCGGGTGTTCCAGCTAGTCAAGCAGCAGCTTTCGCTGCCATTGATCAAAGTATTCTCGCCAGAAGAGTCGGAAAGCCCCTCCCGAAAAGTGAGGTAGCAGCTATCCCATTCCCTGACCTGCGAGGGAACTCAAAGAGCCTGGACGGCGCCGTGGAAAGTAAGACCGTGCCTGAAGCTATTGAGATGACTGGCACCAAAGCCGAGAAGGAAGGAGAAACGCAAGAGGAGCCAGAAGTGGAGAAGCAGGTCACTGTTAGTCATGTTTTGACAAATGTACTTGTATTGCAGGAGTTCTTAACAGAGGTTGCGGCGCTAATACAGGTTCGGGCGGGGCTGTTTGGGGAAATTCGATTTGTGTAAGAGCATGCATGCGTGGTGGGATTGTAGTTTGTAGATATTAGATATTTTTTGTTTATGAGATACCTTTTTTGCGGCATGATTGCTGTATTGAGAGTGTGTTCTTGCGTAAGAGAAGATGTTCTGTGAAAGGGGGGGTGATGTCTTTGGGCTACCTTTCTCTGGGGGTCATCGACTTGTTGCTTCTTTCGATCATTGAACCATCTCCCCCCATCTCGGTGGATAAGAGATGTGGCAGAGTATCCGTTTCTATTAGCAGAACAAAGTTCGAAGGCAATTAAGGTAAGGTAGTTGCTCTAGCACAGTACATCCAGCATTGTAGATCAACTTACATGAAGATAAAGCAAAAGGATCTCTACTACTCCGTACTTTTCTTGCCAATGAGCAGCGATCTTCGAGTACTGCTACATACTCGGACACGAGTCATGATTCTCACTTCTGGTCTTTTGTTGCACATCGTGAGATCCTGATAAGGACGTTGTCTGCGGTTTTCCTTTCGATAAGGAGCATTGGGGATATTTCTGACCTCTCATGACACTTTCAGATAATGGCTCAGATAGTTGAATAGCTTTTGATACGGGTTACCGGGGCTTTTGTGATGATTTGAGACATTCATTGCAAAGACAGTGTCAGAAGGGAGGAAGATTTAGGAGCACGCAATCGATTATCTATGGATTTGTCTTTCCTAGTTTATCATCAAAGGCCGCAGAAAGAAACAGCAACATCATTCGGGTATCTTAACTAACTAACAAGCAAACAAAAGGGGCAAACGGCATGGTCGAGAACTAGAGAACCTTCAAACCCCAACAGTAGCACCCGCTTCCCTAGCAACATTCATGAACACCTCTTCAAGCGAAGGACTATTAATAGTATAATCACTAATAACCCTCGCACCAACTTGAACATCAACGCCCTCTCCCTTCAAGCCCTCCATGCGTCGCATAATAGATCCAAGTTCCTCCTTCTCAAAAGGAAGGTTGAAACTGATCTGTCCGCAACCATCTTGATAATTCCTAACTCCCGAGAAGGTCTCGCGAACGATTTCTTCAACCTTGCTGGCATTGGTACCTGGTTCTCGGACGGCTCGAACCATGTACATACCACCGTACTCGACTTGCAGTTCGGAGAGTGTGCCTTTGGCTAGCATTTTGGTGCCCATGGTTGCCACGCCTGTAGCTAATGCTTCCGCTTCTTCCATGGAGTGGGTTGTGAGGAGGATGGCTCGGTTGGCAGATACGTCTTTCAGGGTTTTCCAGAGGATGCGTTTTGCTCCTGCGTCTTGACCGGTTGATGGCTCATCGAGTAATAGGACCCTTGGGTTACCGAGAAGTGCGATGGCAACCGATAATTTTCTTCTCGTGCCACCGGACAAGGCAGCAACAGTATAGTTGCGGAAAGTGGTAATCTTCAGCGCCTCGAGGACCTTGTCTACGTTACCTTCTACGTTCTTGAGTCCTTTAACGCACCCGTAGAAACGGAGGGTTTGGTAGACAGTCAAATTGTCGATCGCGTCGTCTTGGGGACATACTCCCATGTGAACTCGGGCTTTTTGACCGGCTGTGAGGACATTGATGTTGTCTAGTGTGATGGAGCCGAAGTTGGGGATTAGGAGCCGCGGATCATGTTGATTACTGTTGTTTTTCCGGCACCGTTGCCGCCTAGGAGGGCGAGGGTAGAATTGGAGTTGATTGAAAAGGAAGCGTCTTCTACCGCAGAAAGTTTATTGAAGTACTTCGTTAAGTGTGAGACTGCGAGGATTTCTTCGGCCGGAGATGTGGTGGAGGAGCCTGTTTTCTTCAGGTCCGCGAGAGCTTCTGAGTTGGAGGATTCCACGATGTAGCTCAAGTGTGGTGGCAGTCCCCTTTGTGTGATGTTCCGACGAATCCAGTCTGCACTTCCGTATTCGTGGATGACGAGCATGGCAGTGAGGAACAGGATTTGGAGGATAAGGTTGCAATACACACTTCCATATCGAACGTAGGCAAACGGACTCGAGACATCGGCATCGCCGTACTTTCCACAGAGAATCTCAAAACTGTTGGTAGCCACCCACAGCGCTCTTGCGAGGTTTGCGGCCGGTGAGGTCAAACCTAGACCATATTGAAGAGCCGAGTACGTCTCATACAATTTAGGCCAGGCTGTTGATTGCGCGCCTGCATAGCCTAGCAAGTAGCAAATAAATAACAGAACGTGCACTCCAGCTGCAATAGCAAAAGCGGCTTTCTTGACGAAAAGTGAAAATAAGTAGCAGCCGAGATATGTCGCGATTCCGAAGAGAATAAATGCTCCGAAGATGTAGCTTCCTTGATAATAAACATGCGGGACCGAAGCATACAGTAATCCGTAAACGAAGATGGCTTGAATGAAGATGAATTGCATATCAAATAGCAAGTACGCAACCCAGAGAGCAGCTGGCGAAACACCGTTGCAGAATTGAAGAGCTCGCACTCTCATTACTCTCTCGTAGACAGGATATATGACTGATATGCTGGTGCATCCGATAAATGCAATCACAATGAGAGCTGAGAGGGGCATCGCGAATCCATTGACAACATTTGCAGGGGTCCGCATTGTCCGGAGATAAGCAACAACCATCTTTGCACCCCCAGGTGGATTGGTAGCATCTGCGATTCGGTAGGTGAGGTAGTTGAATCCAATAATATTGGCTGACAAGCCAGAAATGTCCTCTGCTGTATCGTAAAATAAAACAGCCGTTTGCGGGGTTGGGGCCCAGATGGGCACTGCAATATCACTACTTGACCGGTAGGACGAGGACGAGGCCTAGGCGCGCTACTAGTGCTTCGCTAGAATTCACAAGCACGCGATTACCAAGCTGACTGGACGAGCTGGGGGAGCTATTCGTGTAAGAGGACAATGCGAATGTATTAATGCCATTGACGTATAATTCATTCTGTACGTCGCCAGAAAATTGGGCAGCGGGACCTAAGAGTGCAACTGGACTATTGCGAGTATTGTAAAGACTTGGGGAGTAAAAATCCGTTAGAGGCCCAAATCTTTGGTTAGTTTCCGAGTCTGAATACGAGTGTGTGGAAGATTGTGAACGCGATGCATTGCGGAGAAGTTCGCCATTGGTAGCGCAAGTTTGAATTGGCTCATATTTCAAGACATATTTCGCAACGGCTGCGGCGATAATTATCGGGATAATTAGATTGATTCCGTAAGATATCCAACCAGCCTTTTGAGTGAGAAGGGCGTAACGTTTTCCGAGTAGTGCCTTTACTTGGTGTAAGAAACCGATGGATTGGCCTACGTCTAGAGCAAGATCCGGTGATTTGCTGTGGTCGACATTTTCAGGTTCTTCTTTCTCGGTCGTAGAAGAAGCGACGCCATCACCGATAATACCATCACCGATAATACCATCACCGATAATACCATCACCGCCAGCTTGACGAATTGCCGCACTCGATTCAGATGTGACATTCAAGAATACCTGCTCTAATGTCGGGTAAGAACAGCTGTAAGTATTGTTTGTCGCTCTTTCTAGCTCCTGGACCATTTTGGTTGCGTCAGCCGAATTAGATGCTTGGTGAACTTCAGTTTCGCCATCGGATTCTTCGTTGCTGCGAATCAAGTATTTCTCGCCAAAGGTTGCTTTCAATGAGGGTGCAGGTCCTTCACAAGCAAGCTTGCCTTTCTAGACGATAGCGATGTGATCAGCCAAGACGTCGGCTTCGTCCAGAAAGTGTGTGGTGACAAGAACGCTACGACGAGCATGTCCCTTTTGAATAATGTTCCAGATATTACGGCGGGACAATGGATCCTTCGGAATTGTTAGCATCGCTCAAAGCTGCCATAGGAGATACTAGTCTCTAGCAATCTTCTGTCTTGAATACTCTCATATGACCACCACTGATACCCAACATACTTTGGCAGAAACAATGTTTCTGGTTTCCCCAATCCATGTCAGAGATCAGAAGCAGTTATTTCCGAGGATCTCGCATGTTGTTTGTGGGAAAAGTTTATTACGTACCAAACCAGAAGATGCCTCATCGATTGCAACTACTTTCGAGCCTCCCACGAACGCAATGGCAAGTTGAAGTTTTCTCATTTGCCCACCACTGAGAGTCTTGGCTCGAGCACTTGTCTTTTCCAATAAGTCCCATTCCATAATTACGTCGTCGTTGTCAGCAGTCAGGTCGTCGACTGCCGCGGTTTTCAATTTTCTCCAGATTTGAATGTGCTCTTGGACACTCAGCTCATCCCAAAAGACCTAAAAAGGTTAGTATGTGCAGTCAACGAGGGATACATATCAGTCATCACTTACGTTGTTTTGGGGGCAGATTCCAAACACTAGACCAGCTTCATTAAGTTCCAGCTGGGATCCATTGTCCATCGTTGTCATTCCGGCGATACATTTCAAGGTTGTAGTATTACCACCACCGTTAGGACCGAGCAAGAATGTAACAGACCCTTTCTTGACCTCTAAGTTTAGACTATCGACAGCCTTGACGGACTTCCCCTTTTTTAAAAATGGAAAATACCATCGCCGCTTGGCGTTGTATGTCTTTGAGAGACTGGTACAACGAACAGCAACGTCGCTGGTGGCATCGATAGTCGTATGTCTCTCATCCTGCGGGATAAGTTGAGGTAAGTCTCTATCTACTAGTGGATAGAGAGGTGGTCCTAGCCTAAGGTTATAGGATTATTGGTTGTGCTAGTTGGACTGTTGATGTTTTTTTTTGAAGGGGAGGAGGGGGGGGTTCTTGATCCTTTTTGGTTGTTTTGCTACGTAAGCGAGATGCCCCTCAAAGCAACGAGGCAGCGACAAATTGAAAGCGGCAGAGAATCAACTTTAGCATAGGAAATACTCCTTTTAAACAGAACTATACCTTTGATATATAACAACACAATGTCACTACTTGCTAGTCCTTGGTATAAATAAGGCTCAGTACTTACGCTTGATACATTCTCATGGTCCTGGCATGGGAGTTATATAATAGTATTACAAAGAATATATAAATTGGACAGGAATAGAAACTCACTATATGTTTCGGGTAGAAAAGATTAGGGTAATTGAAAACTCCCCTACGAAGGTAGGAGCTGTGGTTTATGTACCTCGTTTTTCTTCCAAGCGCTATCACAACTCCTCATTTCTTTTCAAATATGTTTATACACATAACACTTCAAACCCCTCGATACCATCCTCCAACCCTGACCCCACCATACTTCATTCCCCGCCAAAAAAAATCCTCACTTCACGGTCCCAAACACAACCCAACCTTTTCTTCCCGCAACCATCCTTCCCAAAAGCACCAATTCCCGTCTTAATATCTCAACGAGACTTCCCATTACGCAACAAAAAGCCATGTTGTAATGGCATATAGCAGCCAGTATCTCGACCTCGAACACCTCTCAACACTCTCTTCTTAGACTCTACCTGATATCAATCTCGATACCAACTCACTCGTCATATTCATATATATATACCACGGCCAACACTTACAAAAACACCAGAACCTCAAATAGCCTGTGTTTTGTCCAAATTTTCCTGCGTCTTTGGAACATTTACTTTGAATCTCTTAGTCCGAAGCCCAGTAAGGAGTCAAACCTACCTACACTGCAAAATCAGAATATGAAATGTTTGTCCGAACATACATCAGCCAACAAAAAACGCAGAGAAATCTCCAGGAACAATTCGACAACAAATTAAAATTCGACAGTAACAGATTCCGTACGTAGATTTCTGGAAACGAGCAAGAGGACTACATTAAGGGAAAGTGCTATGTATTTGAAGTAAACGGACTCCCACTAAAGCAGTGAGATCAAGAGGATATTGAGAATTGTGCAAGTGGTTCCACGCTCTGTCAATTGCAATCTGCGGTCTCTGATTCCCCGCTGATAGGTCTTGTTTTTTTGGTGTAGTGAGTAGCTTTTATAGCTGATGAGTAGGAAGAAGAAAGTAATATACCGGTTTTTCGGATCGTCGTTCCTTTTTCTCACTTCTGATTCTGATTCTGGGACGTCGTAAGGGCTATTGGTCTGGGAAGTACTCTAGGAAAGGATATATCAAAAGAACCCCCAAAATTTCATTCTCCATCAGCCTTCAAAGATACAAATTCTCATGCGGTAAACCACAGTGTTACGAAAGACTACACATACAAACATAACAAAAGCAAAGAAAACCTCAGCCTCATCTCCTCGAAACCTCGCCTCAAAATCCCCCAACCAAGAGAACCAAACACCATACCACTACCTCCCTCTCATCCACCTCGCCTCAAAATCCCCCAACCAAGAGAACCAAACACCATACCACCACCTCCATCTCATCCACCCAACAACACCTCCTCATCACACAAACACCGCCACCTTGATAAAAACCCCCTAATCCAATAAACAAACTACGAACCGATGAACCACAAATTTCAGAAAACAACACTTGCAGCAACTACACAAAGAAGCAATATCATCACACACCCAACATACCCCTGAATCCCCCTTCTCACCCTTCCACATCACTATAAAACACCATATTCGTTGAACGAGGAACAAACAGCTACAAGCGATGGCACTAGAACAGCAGCAGAATATTCTGGAGTCGTTCAGAACATCACATCTACACAATTAGTACCAACTCACCACCTCCCAGCCATACAAACCCCCTCAATCCACCACACTCCACTCAACCCCCGTTAAAACCCCTCATGCATACACACACACAAACGAACAAAAAAAATCGACAACAAGACTCAACCCGACAGCAAAAGAATCCTGCCCCTTTCCTTAGTAATTCATTGAGCTTCTCTATGCTACCTCAGTCTTCCATTAGCATGGACAGAACACGCATCTCTCTCAATCTTCTTTTGGCATCGAGATCAAACATCCATCTTTCTCAATCTTCCTTCGCCATGGATTGAACGTGCATTCTGGCTGAGCCCTTACAGTCGAAGATGATGACAAGTCAAGCCCGTTTGTTTCTTTAATTTCTTCCTTCCTTGTCTGGAAATTCAGACTGTGCTCTCGCACATGCGCATCGCAAGAAAGCGTCCAAATCTTCTCCTGGCAAGCTATGGAAAGACGGTACTGTAATAGCCAACATACATGGTTTAACGGTTCTGGGGTGCTTGAGCCTTCCTTCTTATCTGATGTACGCTCTGATAATGGCTCTTTCTTGACTGGCAACCTCCAATACCAGATTGAAAAACAAAACAACCAAGAAAAAGCCTCGCATGAATAAGAGAAAGAAGACAGAAGAAAGACAGGTGAGGAAGATCTTGACCTAGACGGAGCTCTACCAACAACCAAGCTTTCCACGCCATAACCAAGGAAATCTTCTCCAGCGGACAGCAACCAACACAACATCTCTTTATCTCCACAATGGTATATCTTACAATTACGAGAGATCTATTGGGAAGTAAAGAGAGATTTCGCTCTTTAAAACTAAAGTACCAAGGTTACTATTTATTGGTGTAAGCACGAAACACATCGCTCTTAGGTAAGTGACGATGCTATACTACGATGATATACTCTCAAGTTGTTTATCAGTTATCTGACAAGTCCTGAGTCAGTCTGGGGTTTAGAAGCGCAGGCTGGTTATGGGGGAAGGGGTTTATGCAGAGGAAGAGAGTTGCTGTATCCACTTACAAACTTGGCGTTGGGAAAAAACAAGAAAAGGGAGCATAGGAAATGAGTGATGTGAAGGTACTGAGGGAACACCACGAAAGAACAAAAACACATCATGCAAAAAATGAAGGTACCAGATATTCTTTCCCATGGAAATTAGCTTGGATATGCTCATCTATCAAAACTCACTAAAATAGAATCTCCCTCTAAACCAGTCAAGTCAACCAGCAGATCCCTCCTCACACTGCCACTTGCTCCCTAACTCCAACTCTACGGGGGTATAATTATCATCTCCTCTCCACTCCACCTACGCCCACATTCTCCCAATAGTCCTCGAATATCCTATTATATTCTTCCTTCTCGGCCCCTCCCAGTCCCCTGAATAGCCGAGCTGAAACTCGCGGGTAATACATCGAAAAAATCGTACTTGGTCCTCACGATACCTTGACCCCGTTTGATTTCTTCAAAACACCATTGCCGTTGCCGTTTCTTGAAGGCATTTGAATCGGACTCCCGCGGGCTTTGGCTGTAAGAGAGTGTAACTCCTTTAACATCAACTCCCTCGTATCGCGGGCCAGATCTTCCACATCCTCGAACTTCAAATTCTTCGTCTCAATAGGTGGTAGAACTAAACCCATTAGTCCCATCATCCAGAAAATGAGAAAAAAGGAAACATACCCTTCACAGGAATCACCCCCGAATTAAAAACCCACCCCTTGACATACAAAACATTCGAATAATTCGCCACAACCACTGGCACAATCGGCACTCCCGCCTGAACCGCCAAATGAAAAGCTCCCTTCTTGAAAGGCAGCAATTCGGGTTCTTTGCTATAACTTCTGGTTCCCTCGGGAAACATATAAACACTCTGTCTCATGCCCGTAATCTCCTTGCTCGCCCCCGCCATCGCAGACCTGGCATCCTTCGAATTGCTCCTATTGATAAACACCGTTCCCGAAAGCGCCATGAACCAACCCAGAAACGGGATCTTCTTTAGCGAACTTTTGGCCGTTACACTACAGTAGCGGGGGAAGATCCACCCCAGCATCAGGACATCGAGTTCGGTTTGGTGGTTCCCGATGAAGACGGCGGGACGGGTCGTGTTGAGGTAGTTGTGGGGATCATCGATGGTAAAGGAGATGCCGGTTGTGAGGTACATGATGACTTTGAAGAAGCGGGCTGTGGCCCATTGTGCGATGCGGTGGTAGCCTACTAGACGGAGGACGATGGAAACGAAGACCCCGTAGGAAGCGGCGATGATGAGGGAGATGTAGGAGGCGAGGAGACGGGCGATGAAGCCTGCGAGCGGGGAAGCCATGGAGAGAGCGTAGAAGGCGAGGGTGGTTGCGACGTAGCCTCCGACGAAGAGTTCCAGGTAGTAAACGAGGGACATGGTTGGTGAGAACTGAATAGATGGTGAGTTCTGACTTTGATCAGTGCTCGATCAGGCAGTTGTGAAGTTGGAGATGTCGGCCCTCGCGGGGAGGGAAGAAGTCAATCATAGATGACTACTAGGTACCCATTAACCAAGTGAATGTCGGAGGAGGAGGAGGTGAGGTGGAGAGGACATGGGACGTCAAGGAATTTTATGTTGAGGGAACCTCGGGAGGGATTCAAGGATTCAGGGCATCTGACACAGGCCTTTTTGGTGGGGTGAGGCCCTGTCAAGGCTTGTCTGAACGCACTAGGGCGTAGTTAGAACCCACTCAAGCCCTGTGTGGATACGCCTTCCGGGGGCACACCAGGGGCAGGTATGGACGCCGAAGCGCTGTCACAATGATCCGATGGTTTTGGTGGTGGTTGGTCCGATGACCACCATTTACGGATATGCTGGAAAAGCAGCGAATCCAAACACCATTTTTATCCGACTTTGGTAGACATAGAATCAAAAGAATTGTGCATCATACTTATATAACTTTTAATCAAGCCTCTCCTAAACAATTAGTTGATTACCGAAACTTATAATAACTAACCAATCGCACCACCACCTTTACAAACACAAAACAAGCTCTACCCCCCGCCGCTTTCCCCATCACATCACCCATCGTCACAAGACCCTCACCCGCTGCACCCACTACGCCGTTGCGGTACCCCAGAAAAAAAAGGGAAGAAACGCTCCTTCCCCAATAAGAAGTCCCAATGTCGTCAGAAATCCCAATAACAGTCGGTGTTCTAGCCCTACAAGGAGCATTCAACGAACACATCCAACTCCTTCGCGAAGCAGCTCAGACCATCTCATTACGAGAGACCGAGTCGAAACGAAAAGTATGAATTCATTTTTTCTGAAAATCTGTACGCGGCATGAATCACACTTTTGTTATGTTTATAAGCAACTTAATAAACTTGTTCCAATGTATGAGGAAGACATACTGATTGAGTCACATAGTGGAAGTTCACGTTCTCGGAAATTCGAAATAAAAATGAACTCGCCACTTGCGATGCCCTCATCATCCCGGGAGGAGAGAGTACGGCAATCTCTCTGGTAGCGGAGAGATGTGGGATGTTGGAGCCTTTGCGGGAATTCGTCAAGTGAGTCCTTTTCTTGCAACTTTCCTCTCCCTCTCTCTCACACTCTCTCACACTCTCTCACACTCTCTCATACTCTCTCACACTCTCTCATACTCTCTCACACTCTCATCTCCTTCTGTTGTCAGTCCCATCTTTTTCAACTTTGTCATCTTGTAATCTCACACCTCCACCTTCCCACTTTCCCTCCTTCCACAACACCAACCCACCAACCCCAAACACTCAACCAATAACCTCCCCAGAGTATCCCGCAACCCAACATGGGGCACCTGCGCTGGCCTCATCCTCCTCGCCGAATCAGCAAACACCTCCTCCACCAAGCTCGGCGGCCAATCCCTCATCGGCGGGCTCGACGTGCGCGTGAACAGGAACCATTTCGGTCGACAAACCGAGTCCTTCCAAGCAAATCTATTCCTTCCATTCCTCTCCCCTACCAATTCTACCGAAAAAAGTGAAGAATCATCATCCAAAGAAATAAAACAGAAACCCTTCCGAGCCATATTCATCCGCGCACCCATCGTGGAGAAAGTCCTTTCGCCAGTGCAGGGGATCCAAGCCCAAGAAGCCTCGAAGGAAAATATCATCGTGGCGCCCTCGAAAGAAATGACGCCAGAGATCGCGTCACGGTTTACGGTGGAGGAGGTGGAGGTGTTGGGGAGGTTAGATAGAGGGAAGGAAGGGGAGGATGAGGGGGAGATTATTGCGGTGAGACAGGGGAATTGTTTTGGGACGAGTTTTCATCCTGAGCTTACGGGCGATGAGAGGATTCATGTTTGGTGGTTGGAGGGCGTGGTGAGGGATGTGGTGGGGAGGAGGGGGTTGTGATTAAGAATAGATGGAGAGATGGAGAGAGCGGAGGTGGGGTGGAGGGGTAGATTTAGATTCATTGATAGAAGATAGAAGATGAAATCTGTAATTTGGATTCCTGAGGAGTTGCATTCAGACAAAAAGGAATCAACCATATATTTCTGCGGAAGCATCAAAGTCAGAAGCGAAATCTGGATAACAAGATCTCCTGCTACAGTACTCGGGTTTCATTATGTTCGAAAAGTCACATGCATGTTCGTCAAAAAAAAGAAACCTTGGCAAATGAAATCAAATTGGTATTTTCGTTGCAGCAAAAGAAAAAAAAAAGGACAAAAGGACAAAAATCATGTAAACGTCTCTATCAAAATGCATGCTCATCCCTATTTCCTCTTCGACCAAGCATCCACAAAAGCGATCTTGTCCTTGACCGTCAAACCCACCCTCTTTACCCTTCCCAACCTCGCCAAGGCCTCGCCCACTTTATCAAGGACCCTCTGTTCCTGATCACTGAGTTCATTCGATTGATCCCCCAAACTCGTCAGGGTATCCGAACTACTCGTCGTGGTTGGTTCTTCCCCCAAGGTATCTAGAAAATTGGAGAGATAACGATCTTTCTTTTCAGTAGGCGGAGGTTTAGAAGTATTGTACACTACTTCTGCGATTCGCACACGGATGAGGTGCGTAGGTTGTGAGAGGAGGTTCCAACAGAAGGACCAATATTGTCCTGGAACTGGCGTCGTGACATCCGGTGGGGTATAACGTAGACTAATGGGGAATATTTTAGTCTTAGTCGGTGTACTCAAAAGACTTGGGCTGAATGGCATAATGCCTCCTCCATTCGTCGTTGTGCATTCCGGGAAAACGACAATGACTCTGGTGGGATGTTCGGCAACCAATGTATGTAAATCCGTCATCTTTGCTCCATTTGGAGGGTATTCCCGCGGACTCGAAAGAGCGCGGAAAATCGCTCCAAAGAGAGAAATGTACTGGACCTGTCTTGTGTGGGGATATGATATTGTGAATATGGGATCGAATATGGCGGCTAAGTATAAGGAATCGAGTGGTGATGTGAAAGAGGAGGCGATGATATCGCCGGGTTCAGGTACCCGACCTGTATGCTTCTTTGCAAGAGATCCTTTTCTGACTCCGTCAATTTGAAGATCAATCCACCAGACACCTGGTATTCCCAATATCGTCCATAACATCGCCTTCTTGACCAAAGAGGGGAGAGGAAACCATTGTAGTACGAAGAAATATGTGGTCGAGGCTGCGAGGAGGAAGACCAGTTTTATGACAAATAGGAAGATGCGACCTGGCAGATAGATTCCCGCAGGTTGGGAGGAGACGGGGAAGAATGGCGCGATGCCGGATCCTGCGCTTGGTGCGTTAGTTGGTTTCTCAAATGCTTGTGCTGTTTTTGGTTCTTCAAAGACGGGTTCGCGCTTAAGGTGGTGGGATGTGCCAACCTCGATCTCGATACTGAGAGTATTTCTCCATGTCTGGTATTGAATGTTCGCAAAGGTCTTTGAGATGAAGAGGCGGTCGGAGGTGTTGACGAGGCGGGTTATCTTGACGTGACCATGACAGTTGTGAACGAAGTGTTAGGCTGCCAGATCAAGTTGTGTCGGCGATTCTGAGTATGGTATGGTAGAGTTACGTGTGCTCTCGTGGTCGTGGTCGTGGTCTTGTGGGGCTGGGGTGAATGCCTGCGGGCACCGAAAAATATATGTCAGTGATGGTGGTGGGTTGAGCGTTGAGGATTGGCTTGTGATATGACAGGGGTCCAGTTGGTTGTTTGGGTGTCTTACTGTGATATTTATAGCGGCCATTGGCTACTCGACCCGCACGAGTGACGAGCACCCGTTGAGCTCGAGCTCGGAATTCGCATGGGAAAGAGGGCTTTGGATTGATCTTCTGGTCCGTACCTCGTACCTTTCTTGGGGCTAGCTTGTGTGACTTTAGGTTTTTCGTGCTGGGATTGGGTAGGTATCTGGACAGGCGAGGCAGGTACCAGTTAATTGCCTATCAGAGATACTCAACCGAGACAGTCAACTGTTCTACAAACACATGTAAGAGCGGACATTATTGCTCCGTCTATCTACACCAATCGTGCCTCGGGACAGTATTTGTTGACGAAGTTCTAATTGCCCTTGGCCCTGGATTTGGAAGAAGAAACTTGGTTTTCAAAGCGTTATCAAAGCAATAGGATACGCTTCATATTTAGAGCACTTTGACTCGATCCATACAATGGTCTAAGCGATTGATTTCAAGATTTCTAGAAATCGAAAAGAGAATTAGTTGAGTTCTAAGGGAGAGGGTTGGGTTGTGGTTGGAAGAATATCTACAGCCCCTTCTCAAAAGTTGCAAGATAAAGTAGCAAGATCTTCCGTGGCCCTAGAACCTGTAGAAAAGAACAATTCACATGCAAAATACCTTGCTAAATACCCTGTGGTTACAATAGTAGATAGCAATCCTTTGCTGCAATTTTGCCTAGGTGATGTTCCAGGCTCATAGCCACCAGCGACCAATAGGTAGGGATGCGTTTGACAAGCGCAGAGATATCAGCCACACCGCTGTTAAGCCATCGGTGGTCGGTCGGTCGGAGATTGCGTTGCCAGGGCAATATTGGCACCAGAAAAGCATTTTTGGCCAGCAGCTACACATTTGTGACGAGATGTCCGATGTTTTCGGTATGAAAGGATAGAGTTACCGTTCTATCATATATTTGGATAGATTGCAGACAGAAGTAAAGCAAGATAACTACGTTGTCATCGGTGTTGTAAGGTTGAGGGTTGGGGTAAAGAAGTCACGTGTGGTAGCTTTGTTTACGCGGCGGCCGGAATTCAACCTGAAGTTCAACATCATCTCTCCCCCATGTAACCCACAACATCAACAACAGTACGAATACGGCACATCGTCTTGACCACCAACCACAACAACACTGCCGAATGTGCATCGCTACTCAATTCTTAGCATCATACGACCATCTCGAGAGTCACGTCAATCTGCAGCACTTTGCTGCGCCCAAATCCCATCATGGATATCTCTGAAGAGAACTCGGTAGGACCTCGCCGTCGCAAACCTCAACATGCGCCACCTCGCTGACTTGATTCAAACAGTTTCTGCGCGAGTCGCGTATAGGTCGACCACCGAATCCAAGTTGTCTACCTACGCCAGCGAAAGCCCTCAACGAGATATCCGAATCCGAAAGCAACACGCGTGCAAAGATGCCCGTTTCGAGACTGCCACCACCACCGAGCACCGCCTCCAAGCATCGATTGAACCATTGTAGGTCTTCGCAGACAATGGCAGTTACAATACGAAATGGAGCTGACCATCACAGATGAACAGCCGGAACCTAAACGCAAAACATTGGCTGAGAGAGCCGCAGAGCCCGGTTCAGCATCACTACACAAAGCACTACCTGCTCCCTCTACCATTTCCGGTGTCCGAACGACTTCCCTCGTAAGTATAATTACTTTCATAAGTACTACAGCATTCATACCTCGAAATGGGGCATTCGTAGGATTCTGAGCTATACACACAGCGGCGGCACCCACTACTTCTGCCCCCTTTGAAGTTGGCGCAAATATTACCCCAGATTTGAGCTTTGTCTGGATACATGAGCAATTTGCTCCCTAGTCTCGGAAGCCCAGCCTTACTGTGTGCACATCCACAGCACTTTTCATGATTGCACTTTTGCTGGTCATGATACGAGTCGCTGGTTTCCTGCACAAGCCCCATTATCTTGGCAGCATTTGACTATTACCCCTCCTCAGCCTGCATTCACTCCCATCGCGCCTTCATCATTTCGTTTTATGTTGAACATTCGTGAGGGGATGTTACCCTGAGTTGGGGTAGTCAATACGGAAGCCACGCTTCTTCCAATCCGTCAAGTTGGGTTCCAACATCGAGCATCCAAAAGCCATTCAAGTTTCAGTGAAACCTTGCCTCCATTTCCGAGCTATTGCCTGCATTTGTTTTGAATGTTCATTTGCTAATAAACAACTTTTCAGAAGAGTGTCGCTTCATCCGGCTACGGCTCACAAAATCCCTCTCGTGGAAAATCTCTTAATCGGAAGGCCTCACGACCCGACTTTTCGAAGAGTGTTGGTCCTGGACATCACCGCTCTGCCTCAGCGGCTCCTCGGGCAAACGTCTTTAGCCAATCTACAACCTCCAGACCACCATCACAGGCCCTTACCAGAACTCGACATGCTCCCTCGGCAAACAACCAGATGGAGGGGGACGCGTATCGAAAGGGTACGTCAGCAGCTTTTTCAAATAATGAGTTGCAAGCACAGTATTCAGAATCCGATTGGTCTCAACGCTCCGTTAGCAATGCCACAGACAGCTCCGTTAGTTCGGCATTGGCACGGCTCCGAATTGACAGCGACGACGATGGTTATCGTTCAGATGACGATCGAGCGATTAGGGAAACGGCCAGGCGAACCGCCAGACCATCCTTGTCTACAAGATCTTCATTAAGCAATGGATTTCAGGGTCTGAGAGGAGGCAGCGAGACAGCACTTGTGTTGTTTGGGCAGCCTGAGGACAGCTTAGTTGCTTTCAATCCAAAGACGCCTTCTCAGATTCCAGTTCCAATCAAGAGGCGGGAGATAGAATATACCCCTCAAACCCCATCCCGAGTTTCAAAGGATCGATTTAAGCAAACTCATATGAAAAGACATTCTAACATTGGTTTTGTAGCATGGGGTCCAGAAGACATCGACAACCGAATGAACGACATGGATGCGATGTTCAAGCAGATGAAGGAAGCAAAAGAAGCCATGTCACAGGAACAAAGTAATCACGAACGCATGGTTAATGGCTATTCAACGCAAAGTAAGTGGTTATAAACCCCCTCTATACATCCTTTTGCTGACAACTCATCCGATTAGTCCTTGATCTAAACATGAACAACCAAAAACTGACTTCAGAGAATAAAATGCTACACTCACAAAATGACCTTTTGCATGAAAAGGCAGTAGGGCTTGAACGAAAACTTCAAACAGTAACTTCGGAACTTGATGATAAAGTTAGACAAAACCGCAACGCTGAAGAGGAATTCGAGCGAACAAGTCGAAACGAATTGGAAAGACTCCGCCGCGATCACACTGACGAGTCGGAACGCCTCGCACGAATACACCGCGATGAGATCAAAGATATCGAGCGTCGAGCAGCTTTGGAGCTTGAGGACACGACACGTGCTCTGGAGAAGAAGTTTGAAAGTACTCTCGAAGAAGAGCGGAGCCGCCAAGCACAGTTGGTACAAGAGCTCGAAGTAAAGATCGCAAAGGGCGACGAGAATTCGCATGTGGTTTTGGAGAACAAGGATCGTGAAATCCAGAGTCTGCAGAATGATCTTCAAGCCCTTCGGTTGGACCTAGATCAGGAGCGTCATCTAAAGAGCGAAGCCCAAATAAACCTCACAGCAGCGCGAGAGACGATGCAGAAGAGAGCGATGGAAGCAGCAGATACCATTCATGCACAAGAAAGTACCCTTGCCAGTCTTCGTGCTAGGATTTTGTTCCTTGAGTCCGGCAGCAAAGCTCAATCCGACAGTTTCGCAGAGATGGAGGAGAGACTGCAACAAGCCAATCGAAAGGCGGAAGAGTGCCAAGCTAAACTCATCAAGGAAGAAACAATTCGCCGAATTCTTTTCAATGCGGTTCAAGAATTGAAAGGAAACATTCGAGTTATGGCCAGAATGCGACCAGCCGGGAACGCGGATGGTGAAGTGGCCCAGATCCAATTTCCCGATGCTGACAAGGAGTCAAAGGAGCTTGAGATCATAGGCAAGGAGGAAAAGAGCAGTCTTGGGACAATCACGAAGAAGACCCATTCTTTCTCCTTCGACCGAATGTTTGGGCCTTCGACCACCAACGAGGAAGTCTTTGCCGAGATCCAGCAACTCGTACAGAGCGCACTTGATGGCTACAACGTTTCTATCTTCGCATATGGTCAAACTGGTTCCGGCAAGACACACACCATGTCGTCAGCCGACGGTATGATTCCTCGTGCGACGCATCAAATCTACGAGACAGCACGCAACCTTGAGGAGAAGGGATGGAAATATGCCATGGAGGGGTCTTTTATTGAGGTGTATAACGAAGAGATACACGACCTTCTTTCCAGCTCAAAAGATTCCGAGAAGAAGAAGCATGAGATCCGCCATGACGACCAGAAGAAGCAGACAATTGTTACGGGCATCAAGACGGTCCCCATGACCTCGGTCGACACTGTGGAGATGATTCTGAAGCAGGCGGATTCCAACCGACGGGTCGCGGCAACCAAATCCAACGAGCGATCCTCCCGTTCCCATTCCGTCTTCATGCTCAAGCTCGTCGGCCATAACAGCACGACTGGTGAAACCTCTGAGGGCACTCTTAACTTGGTTGACTTGGCTGGTTCCGAAAGACTCAAGTCATCAGGGGCCGAGGGTGACAGGAAAAAGGAGACACAAAATATCAACAAGAGTTTGAGCTGCTTGGGTGATGTTATCGCAGCCTTGGGACAAGGAAAGGAGGGCAGTCACATCCCCTACCGCAACTCAAAGGTAGGCACAATCATCCCTCACCACATTCAATGCTAACAAGAATAGTTGACCCACTTGCTCCAATACTCACTTGGGGGCAACTCGAAGACCCTCATGTTTGTCATGGCGAGTCCAATGCAGGCACACTTGACAGAAACTTTGACGAGTTTGAAATTCGCCACTAAGGTAATTACCTCACATCCTTCATGCGTGATTGCGTTCTAAGACTTTCTAGGTTCACAACACCCACATTGGAACGGCGAAGAAATCGACCAAAGTGAAAAACTAGTGATCAAAAGTAAGAGCAAACGTGTTCGTCCTTGTATTTAGCGTATCGTCGTTTTTGATCGATTTTCTGGCGTTGGGGGGGATTTGCATAAGATCTGTCATCCTCGGTCATGGAGATGGTCTATGGTACTTGGATGACGGATTTTGCTGGAGTTGTTTGGAGTATTTATGACAAGGAAGGATACATTCTGTCATTGGGTTGGTTTGTTGTTTAATAAATCTGGGTGGAGTAACGACTTGTTTTTGGGGGGGGGAGTGGTACCTTGTATAGCGGGGAATGTTCTCATGTTTGGGGGTGTGTGGTCGATGGATCACTTTACAGTGGATTCTTCTTCTTTTGTTGATAGGGGATGGCTGTCATTCATTTGCTTTCATAGTTTTGAGCTTTGGGGAGAGGGAGGGATACAAAAATCCGGTTTTATGAGATGCAAATTTTAATGTGTGAAAATTAGTTGGTCCTTATTTTTGTATTGTGAGATTTGTACATTGTGAGATTTGTACATTGTGAGATTTGTACAGTATGTGCTAGGTCTTGGATTCTTGGTAGGTGTGAGGAACTTGTTGGTCATGCTCGATTACAGTACCCAAGAAAACCCACGAGGAAACCGCGAGTGAGCCGAGAGCAGCTCTTCAACTAGTTTCTTTTCGCGCAGGCAAAGAGCGTGTCGAGCCCACCCTGGTGCTTTCGTGTGCAACACCTACATCCGCATCGTCAGGGGAAGACATCACACTTCTTAGCTACGAAATGGAAGGTGACTCGCTAGATTTCTAAAGGTGAATTCATTCACATCATACACTTGAACACTTCTGGATGTTACTGTACTACATACTCTGATCTTGATTGACAATGCTAACGTCGTTCGAGTATATGAAGGGTTAGACTGGTTATAAAGTTTTTCTTATCCTTCTTTTTTTCGGTAATGAATGACTTGGGTATTCGATGAATTTATTAGATTACTTTGGAGGGGGTACAGTAGGAGTATGAGAATTCATAACTTAGTAAAAGTAGAAAGATTCTCGAAGGTACTTTGCGTAAGACTTTTGAGGGAAGAGGGTTATTCTAGAGGAGTTAGATATTTAATTTGTTTGAACTTTTGTCACTTAGTGAAAGCGTAGTTATCTTCTATAATCTTCTAATATTTACCTTCTCTTCACTGCTATCACACATAGGGAGGAGATGAAGTCACCTTCTTGAAGTATCGTGCTAGCATTTCTATCGATTTATAGTGTGAACATATAGAGAGTTAGAACTCCCTTTTGACTATTCTGGCCCATGTGTATAAAAGGACATAGTATAGTACCTACTGTAGATACAAAACATCTGAACACGAAAGAGAAAGGGAGTAGAGAGTATGTTAGAGCTCCTTCTTTGATTAGTAGTACTCATTAGGCTTACCAAGGAATGTAGTGTAGTTCGTGACTAGATTCTCAAGACACGCAACCTTAGACAGTTACCATCAGGTATTTGGGACAACAAGAATTAGCTTGAAATAATTGCTCTAATTCTCTCGGACGATCTAGCACACTTTTTAATCGCACGCGGAATAAGCGGGGCAGGAGATAAGAAGACTTCCTACTCTTGTTCGCTTGCGAATTCTCATATCCACAGGTAGTTAGAAGTCTAATAAACAACGGGAACATGAAGGTACTAAAATAAATCATGGCTAGCGCCTTACTCGCTTAATCGTGCTTGTACTAAAGTGTATTGGGGCCTATTCTGCGTAGTTGTCGCTAGCGATGTTTGGGATCTAGAGCTACAGTCCCTTCGCAAAAGTAGGCAGAAACAAGGGGTTCATACAAATAGTGGCACTATTGAGCCCACATATAATCCTAGGGGTTTACGCTACCTTTATACTGTTTAACGCTGACCCGAAGGCCAAATGATTGAAGCATAAAGCTGAAAAATACCCTGTTACGCGATATAATAGTAGAAATATAAAAACACACCACTAAAATGTATGAATCTGTACAAGAAGGTCTAAATGTACATAAAACCTTCTTGCTGCTTTTGCGAAGGGATTGTAGGTAGAAAGTATAGAGGTGTTGGTAACGAATTTAGGGCTGAAGCTTCGGCATCTTAGGCCTGGCGAACGAGGTAACAAGCACTTTCCTCTCAAAGGAATTAGATGACACCTTGACAATTTGTGACTCATACGTAGTTAGCAACCAGAATATGTTTTGCACTCTAGTGCTGGGCCATTTGTCTTATCAGGTGGGTTTGATTGATGTCAAGATAGAAAATAAATGATGAATCATCGTCGGAAGATTCCGTCTCGAGTCTTCCTGTACGTTCAGTACTTGGGACTAGACTGTCTTGCTTCCAATTGACTAGCATAGAAGTATTGGTAGTGTTGGCGTTTGCTTCTATAATTTTGAGACAAGGAGATTAGGAAGTGAGTGAACTATGGTGAAGTGATAAGCTGTCAGTACTTGTAGCACAGTAGTTTCATACTACTCCTTCCGCTTCAGTTATCCCTTATCCCAAGCTAGATTTAGTATGTTGTAGCAGCTGAACAAGTGCTAGAAATCTAGCGTGCCTTGTTAGTGCTCTCATAGAATGGCATTGTTTAGGTGCTCAACTACATCTTTCTTAGCTGGCATTTTAGCAGCATTCTACTTAGGAGACTTTTGGAGCTAAGACAGAGTTTCTTTTCACAAAAGATTGAAAAGAAAAAAGGGAAAGGATGAAAACAGGAAAAGCGTCTGGTTCTGTCCTGGAGACTAATTGAACGGACTGGCTAGTTTCAGTTGGTTTATTTAGGTAGTGGAGTTTTAATCTCGGATGTTTATTGTGTCACAGCACTGTGAGAAAATGATAAAATGGCGGAGTTGCAATTTCAACACCTCATAAACAAAAGAAGCAAGGCGATCTAACTGCAGAATCTAGCGTATTCCGATAGTGTACCGGCTACTTCCACGGTAGTTTAATAGGTCTCGCCACCGCATTCAGAGGACCTTTTCATCGATTAACATTTCCTCTTCGTTATGATCGCTTTAGGTTAGGATGAAAACAAAGAATCTCGCCCAATCGAAAGATTTTGTTCAGCTACTCAGCAGAATACAATTCAAAAACTGACCAGGTTTTATCAAATGAACATGTCGTACTTCTAACATTCTCACGATTTGGGGTGAAGTGATATAATTTCGCAAGCTAAAACTTTGAAGAGCGAGGACCTGGAAAAGTGAGATGAACTATGTCATATTGGACTGGCAACTATACCCGAATTGTCTCCACTGGGTTAGGTCCTTGTAGAAGAGGGATTTCTGGCCGAAGATTATGGCTTATATATGACTAGCTGTTCCAAGTCTCTGGAGATTGTGCCAAGTACACTTTTCAGTCTTGGCTTACGAACAAAATCGCCTTTGACCAACCTCAGCGTCTTGATCAGAGCCTCATAAGACCATAGTCGTAGTAGGCTGCTAATAAAGTCAATCAAGGTCAGGGCCACCATTTTCTGTTGTCACTTTTCCAAAAACCCGAATGTTACTTGTATGACATCGAAGACAATAGCATTACCCATTCTTGAATACCAAGACGAAACACGCAAACTCAACGCCGAAACCATTAATGGGTTCACGTCAGTCGGATGATTCAAGTGGGCTATACTGGGCGCTTTATAGTCTAATAAGCCAACGTGGTATGCCCTTCGAGACTGGGTAGCGTGGTGGAGTGAACAATACAACACTATACCCAACACTCCAATACGTCAACCACAAGCCACCCTCTCTAAACTATCCGCCTCAAATCCCGTCCATGGTGATGGCGGCATGATTTCAAACCCGTCACTGTCCCCCAGCCTCCAGGGCCCCCTCGCCTAAAGTGTCCTAACAAGGATTTCCCCCTGTCAAAGCAGGAGCCAACTACAGGCCTGCCTTGCGATCCAAGCATTGCCGCGCACCAGAACCAGGTTTCGACGATCCTGATCTTCACCAGGGGGTTAATAAAGATAGGAAGTCAGAAAAAGCTTATCCAGATGTTCAATACGAAGTCTAGTGCCTTGGGATATTTCGCCTCACTTCCTCTTCAAAGAGTGATCATGGACTTCTATCACGTACATCTTGAACTTTGTGCTGTCTTCCCTTTTACCCGTACTTTTAAGGTACTTTCATAGGTCCGGAAGAAGAAGCGTAAGTAAACTTTTCGCCCAAAGAGAATTGGACTGAGCTCTGGATTGTCAGACTAAACGGGTAAGGGAATCGATTTAGTTTTCAGGTAGACCAGACCGGACCAAAGAGTTCTGATCAGAACACCAAACATCAAGTTTGAACGAAACGGCAATAGTCGGAGAGAGAAAATTACCAGTAAGTGGAGAACGAAACGAACTCTATCGCTTGTCAGGCTGGTAGAGAAATCAATCTTCTGATCCAATCGCGGTCCATGCTTCCCAAAAGACATCCGGAAATGGACAGACTTTCTCACTAATCGACTTTGGGCATTGTTGGGACAGATTAAGCTAAATTACTTGCCTTCTCCGAGTTCTGAAATTAAATTCAAAAGTTAACATGAACTTACTCAATAGTTATCGTGACAAGTAGGAGGCCGAAATATTAAGCGAGACGCAACTTTTGACATCACCCACCAACGGCGTTCGTGTAGAGGAGGCTTTGAATACGTTATCGTTAAGACATCGAATTGTGATGTTTGTATTCTAATTACATTTAATGATAATTACAAAATCCATTAATGCAGTTTTATGAACAAAGGAAAGGTAGACAGGGTGGGTATCAAGGTAAATCATCTACTCCAATAGTGACAGTGTCCAAGACCGAAACGCCAGGACTCGTGATACCTAAAGTATAATAAAATGATTACGCGGAAAATGCAGTTTCTCGAAAGTTTGTGACAGGCAGCGATTCCGTAGGAGTAGGCCATTGTTTAATAATCCCGGTGGAAATGTGACGGTGGTTAGAGGAAGAACGATGGATCTGCTTGATTGTATATGGGTTATGCGCGGTAGTCGGTAGTCGGTAGTCGGTAGTCGGCAGTTATTGAACTCTCCTAACAAGTGAAAAACAGGCTTGCCTAACCGCCAAGTATCGAATTATGATGACGTCCGACGGTTTGACTAGAGGTAGTCCAGCTCTCTTGCGATATGGGGAGATCGGAGCAACTCCCAGCTACCTGACACCTGAGATACGTTGCATTCATCATACGCTTCCACGCTTAGTGGAATATCGTCCGTTTCTAAGAGAGCTATCAAAGTCGTCGTCATAAGCGCTATCACCCTCTGAACGTTTGTCATTGTCATAGTCGCTGTTGGCTTCGCCTTGTCCCATTCGTTCCTCTCGAGCAGCTCTAGCATCGTTTTCAGCTCGAGCGTTATTAATCATGGCGGGCAACTGTCTCCGGCGGGCGTTGATGAACCAATTGGAGATTTGATCTAAAATTGATAGTCAGCGAACTGCCAAATATGCCAATGGAAAAAAGAGGTTCGTACTGATTTGTAGACCTGTCTGTCTCATAAGCTCCTGCTTTTCGTCCTCTGTTGGATATGGGTGGCTTAAATGGCTCACAAACCACGTTCGTAATTTGTCAGTCGTCTCTTTTGGGAGATTGCCTCTTCTCTTTCGTTGCTTGTTTTCGTTTCCAGACTCTGCCACAACATAGCTAGCATTTGAACCTGGATAGGCATTGTGATGGTTGTTCCAGAAGGGTGTACGGTCGTGGGATAATGGAGATGTAGAAGAACCGGAATATAATTGTACCCGTGGTTGGTATTGGTGGTACCCATATGTCATTGCCGGTTGTTGATATACAGTAGAGGGGAATGGTTCAGTGGATGATGGTGCATACGATACACTTCGCTCCAGTGGCATTCCCGGACGTCGAGGTAACTCTTGAGGCCGATCAATTACGTTTTGATGGGCAAGTACCTCTTGCCCTGAAGGAGAAAACCCATTGGCAAATGATCGTTCTCGTACCTCGTTATGGGGAAACGAAGTGTGAATAGCTGGAAGTCCTCTTATCGACGCACGAGGGCTGCTTCGGGTGGATCCAATACGGGATTCGTTGGCAGACATGGGCATATACTGGTTGAGCGAGGTGTTTGTTGGTGAGATTGCTGCGCCTTGGGATCGATAAATGGGGTCGAACCCTCGTGGGGTTGATTGTTCTGCACCAAAGTCTCTCTCCCTACCTATTGAAAGCCTCTGCCGTTTAGGGTGTGGGGAGGTAGCTATATATTCCGAATTTGACGTGTTCCTAGACTCCATGTAATCGGCTTCAGTGTTACGTGGAATAGTTGATTGAAGTTCCGGTATTGCTGATCGAATGGATGGAAGCGATTGACGTTCCAAGTGTTCTCTTTCGTCCATCATCTTTGTGTCTCTATGATATACAGGAGAGGCGTTGTTAGATCTTCCAAAGGCGCCTGGAAATTCATGTTCGTTCCTGCTTCTTGGTGGTGCATTCTGTGATGAATTGGAAGCTCGGAAGACGTCTGCCACATCTTGATCGTTCCTTCCTCTCATTGTTCCCGAATGCGGGGATAGCGAGCGAAAGTCCCTGACATCTCGCTCGCTCCTTCTTCCGGTCCCTTCGGTATGTCGCGAAGGCCGGAAAATATCTACTCTCGAGCGATCTGGAAAGCTTGTGATAGAGAGCGACATTCCGGAGAAGAAATATTTTGTAGGAGCTGCCTTGTTGTCAGCTCCTATATGCCAGAAAGATATCAAAAACGACAGGAAGGATGATGAGATTGAATGAAAAGATTTTGCTGGGAACTTTTCCTGCAGCTTATATAATTGGTACCAAAATTATACAGCTAACTCAGTAGCTGAATGCACCAAGTGGGAGCAGACTAGGCCATTACCGGCGTGGTTCATGGGAGATGGCCTCATCTGCCTTCTACCATGACATTGTCTAGATGGAGCCCAAGACGATGAGACACTCTAGGCACTCCACTCAAGTTTGGTAGTCTTGATACGCAGAGAGATAAGTTGAATTGAGTAGGGCAGAACTTACTGTGAAAATGATTTGGCACCAAACTAGCTGGGCCTAGCGCAAGTGACGACGCCACTTTGAAGGCTTTCAGTTAAATGACAAAAGAATTCCTGGTGTCTGACGGGTTTGTATCAATGGCGTTCCTTGAAAATGTTCTGTTGGTCTCTGGTTGCGGGATGGAACAAGCGAACGTTGGAACGAGGGCGGTTGAGTTCTTCAAGAGCAAGAAGGGAGCGGAGAGCAGATGGTTAAGTATATTTGAACTTGAGCTGTTCGGTCCAGCAGATGTTGCACAGATGTCAGAGTGGATAGATTCAAAGTAAAGTGGTTGGTGGTGGTTTGGCCCGAAAGTCCTTGAAGATGATTTATGCGGAGAAGGCTGAATTATACAAAGAAGTACTAGTAGTGAGAGAGAGATGGCAAGATCCGAGAGCTAGGGTAATAGGCACGATGAGACCCGTGGGCCAAGGCGCTCTAAAGAAGCAGCACAGCAGAGTTGCTTGCGGCTGGAGAGAAATCATAAAAGACGTTAGAGACCAGGTTTTGGTTGTAGGTGTAGTCCGTCATGAATTGAGCGAGCAGGGGTCCCATATTAACTATAGACCGGTCATGCCAGAGCCAGAAGCCAGAACAGATTGTTTTCAGGGGATTATTAACCGTGCATGAGAAGGGACAACGCCCTATGAATCCCGATCTGATTCGTCCAGGGGCATCAGCCAGAGAAAGATGGAGGGGACTGGGACTGGGAAGAACTAGTGCTTGCCAGAATTGTGGGGCGATTGCATCAGCGTATCGCAACTGCAATTCCCTTTTTTGGACCCTCTAGCGAGCTGAGAAAGGTTAGCAGCTCTCTACTATCCTAGCCCTGATGTAGATTAAATGCCCGAAGGAAACATTCTATGCCGAACAGGGGTCGGTTTAGAAATGCAACCTGCCGAACGGATGACGGACCGTGTGCACATGGATGGAAGTATTGCGATTTGATCAGCGGGTTACTTCCTTAGTACCATGATCCCTCACACGAACGTGCGTCTGAAGGCGCCATTTGGCAGCCTTAGCTTCGCCTGTGGTCCACATCGATATGAAGCTTGAACTACTCGTGTCAAGTACAGATACCAGTACTGGATCTGAAGGGGGGATGTACCTGTAGAGTAATTCGAAGTAGCTGTCGCCTAGCGAGCTGAAGAGCCTGACCCCAATCCTTGATAGGACGGTCCCAGGACCACGATGACCTGGTCAGCCCTTTTCGAAATCGCTAGGATTCCTTGGTGGAGAGATGGCGGCAGCTCCTGACGAGTGAGGCAAGTTGAACGCATTTTGGATTGCATCGAAAACAGAGAGTCCCATGCGATACAGTGCAGATGCTGCTTTTCAACTACCGAGAGCTTTTGGATGCGACTTCGTAAATCTCCAAGTCTCGCACATGTATATTGAGAAGACTGATGCCACACTTGTTCTAGCGCTGCTGTAGGAAAGCCAAGACTTCAATGCTGCCACAAAACGTAGTTGACCCAATCGAGAATCTCTTCATGGCTGAACCCACATGCCCAGACTTTGGCTTGTTGACACCAAGGAATAATGATAGATGGATCAAAGGGAACCGTCATGTGTTTCATCGTCTAAGCTCCGGCATGGGACTTCTCTAGATTTCATGCATTTTTGCTGTATAATAAGATTCGGACATGAGTGAGAACGTGGCTAGGTAAGGCTGTCAAGAACTGTGTAATATAATGGATTATCGCTGCTCCATGACTGCAGAGGCGGCTCATGCCGCTGCGTAAAGTTATACGCAACTCAAGCACCAGGGGTACGCTTACGAATACCATGAATTTGGCATTCTGATCGATCCAGAGATAACATTTGTACTTTACTTGAGCCACTATTGCTCAAGGTTCATCTTCTGTTATTCTTGGCTTCTTCTTGTTCCAAGGGCCTAGGTGAGGCGTAGCAAAAAGTGGGCAAGGGCGGCTCGATCAGCGCTGGGGCCCGGTCACTGCTTTCTGTTCTCGAGGAGAATCCCCGTGGAGACTTCTGTTTGAATCGTCCCCATGTCCCATCCATTCTGGGGTGGTAAGGTGTGTCTTTCCTTACCTTGGCTGAAGCCGTCACCGATTTATTCCTTGGGTTGTTGCTAGGGAGGGGTGTCTGGATGTAGATTCGAAATACATAGCGAGACCAGCTGCACTCAAATTGTGTTACTTGATGATTACGGAACTCGTTCCCCGGTTGGCACCTAGCACGACAGCGAATCCCCAGTATTTTTTGTTGGCTGTACATGAATGAAGAAGGTTGAGCTACGACTCACAGACAAGTAGCAGCATTATAAGCGCGATCTGCAGGAGGGACGTTGGGGGTTGCAAATAAAGCCCCGAACGAGGACAGGCATCATTCTTTTAGGCTCGTATTTCACGTCCAGGGAACATGATTGGCGATCTGCCGTTGACATGGCTGGGTCTCTCCTGCGATGGGCTGTGCCAAACACTTCTTGGCAAGAATATGGGGAGCGATTGGATCCAAAAGCTGATGAAAGAGACGGCGTTGACAACCAGAACTTGAGAGGAGATACTGTATTTTCTTTTGCCTTTCAATGCTCCGTTTCATGTAGAGTTGACAGCTTCTGGAAAGCTTCTTCCCCCAGAGACTCGCTTATCCGCCTGTCTTCTATTCTGTTAATGGAACCCGACTTGAGGGACACGAAGCAGGCGCCTCGCGTCGGTTGCACACGCGTGGAATACCCATCTCCTGCCTCCGAGTCTGTTGAGTAACAAAGGAAATGCAACCAATGCAACGACTGCATCAAGCTGGTTCCCAACGGGATGGATTTCCCAAGTGAACATAAGGGAACTATGAGCGAAGAGGTTCGGGGCCTCAAATAGGCAATGAGCAGAGCAAAACGTTGGTGGAGCGGGCGTTGCACGAGGGCTGCTGTGACTGAAACCACTACCTTTGGAGCCTTCAACAGTCATTTGGCGGTCATCGATGATATTACGAAGAGCGTCCTTTCTGACGCAGAAGCAGCATCAGTAGCAACAATCCGGACGTTTTATTCTTGTTGATTTTCTCCGCATTCATCTACGCCACCACTGACGACACTAGTTCGAATGGAGTAAAATCAGCGGTGACTGCTGAGTATGTTGCGAAGTCGTACTGTAGTGCTAAAGTATGCACAGTCTGTAGGAAGATCGGATGAAAGGTGTCTGACCAAGTCTGTGGTCTTTGCTCAGTGGTTCCTGGGCCTGCTCCATGAGACAGATTTGATTGTCAAGTTGCAATATGTCGATCACGTCGGCGACGGCAGAAAAGACCTCGCTGCTGTCACCCCTTTGGGATTGGTATTTCTCAACCATCCATGATCATGGCGTTGCAGGGCAGAGATGGAATGTCCTCGTACACCCAAACAATTGACCAAACATTTGGTTCCCCTCGAGAGGCCGGCCAGCGACGTTTCCGAAGCATGCTTGTGACAGCAGTAGTTGCGTTCCAGTCTTTACGATGGCAGTCCATAGTAACCGGCTGGATACCAGTTTGCTTTTGGTTATCCCGCCATCAGACAGGAACACGGCCGTGGCCTTACCCACCGTACGGTTCCTACCTACAGTACTGTGGGTACCGATGGGGTACAGTACCGCACCGAGTGACTGCCTCTGAGCTGAAGCGTTCAGAGATGTACTCCGTAGACAACGGCTTGTATCTGTCATCGCCAGTGTTGCAATGGGAATGGCTTATTATCGTCAGTCACCAATCGCCCAGCGCCGTTGTTTACCCCTTTTCCGTGGTGGCTTCGTCGCCGCTGCTGCTTTTCTTTTGCATTTTTATGCCAGGACAAGGGGCCGATGAGAAGATTGATGCATGCTCTTTTTGAGGCGAAAGCAGCACCGAGGAAAAGGGATTCCGTCAGAACTCAGGCAATGGATGGGCAACATAACACACTTGGCTGCATGGACCCTGGTAGACCACCATGATCCCCTGTAGCAGTCGGTCGTGGAACGTGATGAAATATCAACTGCACACGCACCGGCGTGGGGGCAACAGAAATCGAAATACATATGCGCTGTTATTTGTTGGCAACTTTTCCCGAATGTCGCCCGCCTATGTAATCGTAGACGAAGGAAAAGGGGGGTGTGAATAGGAGTAGCGAGAGGCATCTGTTGGCAGGCGAGGCAGGGCAGGATATTTTGTGGGAAGGCGAAAGCTTAATTTCTCCTTCCGTACCGGCACCGTGATCGGGCTGGGGCCGAACGCCAATTGTAGAATACCGAGACCGGCCCGGTGAGGTGGATGCATTCCAGGCAGATCATGTGACTTTAATCATTGGCACCCCACCTGCACCCGCAACCTGGGCTGGAAAGCTCTTTACGCGTGAACACGTCCCCTGCCTCAACGCGTCTTTTTTTGCGATCAACATCTTCGGTGCTCGTCACAGGCGTACCACCCACTCAATCTACCCTTCTTAACACCAACGATTTCTTCGTCAACGCCCCATCACCTTCATCATGGGAGATGTACGATCGCAAATCACCACCGGTGCCTTGAAGTGAGTGCTATCGTGCTATCGTGCTGTCGTACACTACACCTAAAGTACCCCGCTAACAACCCGCCAGCGCCATTTTCAACGATCCGGATAGCCTCGAGCAGCGCTTTCCCGTACCGGTATGCCAATGCGTGCAGATCAAGACACTCAGCTCGACTGGCGATGGCGTGCCAGAGAGGTTTCGTCTCGTTCTTAGTGATGTCGACCATTTTGTGCAGAGCATGCTCGCCACCCGTATGCCAACAACCAAAGTCCCTCCAACCATATAGACATTCGCTTACACAACTACAGAAGCGAATCATGTCGTACATGACGGAAAGCTGAAGAAAGGATCCATCGTACGCCTGAAGTCATACCAGGCAAATGAGGTCAAAGGCAAAAAGTTAGGCAGCACTCGCCTCCAACCAAGCGAATCTCAACTAACGACTGCAGGATTCTGATTGTATTAGACTTGGAAGTTATCGAGAGCTTGGGTGAACACGAGAAGATTGGAGAGCCGGAGGCTTTACCTCTCAAAGGACCAGATACAAAGCCCGTTAGCACAACCATAGCTGGGGGTGGATTCTATGGCAACAAACCCCAACCTCCGCAACAGCAGTATCAATCTCTTCCCCAAAGATCTGGTCCTTCTGCGTCACAAGCAAACATCTACCCGATCGAGGCACTCTCGCCATATACTCACAAATGGACAATCAAAGCCAGAGTCACGAACAAATCAGATATCAAAACTTGGCAGAAGCAAAGCAGTGAAGGAAAGTTGTTCAGTGTCAATCTGTTGGATGAGAGTGGGGAGATTAAGGCTACCGGCTTTAATGCCGAGTGCGACAAATTGTACGACCTTTTCCAAGAAGGCTCTGTCTATTATATCTCCGCTCCATGTCGAGTGCAGCCTGCAAAGAAGCAGTTCTCTAACTTACCTAACGACTATGAACTCACCTTTGAAAAAGATACGATCGTCGAGAAATGCGAGGATCAGGATAATATCCCGCAAGTTCGTTACAATTTTACCAACATAGCAAATCTGCAAGAAATTGACAAGGACTCAACCATCGATGTTATTGGAGTTCTCAAAGATATTGCCGAAGTCAATCAGATTGTATCCAAGTCTACGCAAAAGCCATATGACAAGAGAGAACTGACGTTGGTGGATGATTCTGGGTACTCTGTTCGACTAACGATTTGGGGTAAAACTGCCACTAATTTTGACGCGAACCCGGAAGCAATTGTGGCGTTCAAAGGAGCTAAGGTCTCGGACTTTAATGGCCGAAGTCTCAGTCTCCTTTCGTCTGGTTCCATGACCATTGATCCGGATATTGCGGAGGCGCACAAGCTCAAGGGCTGGTACGACTCGCAGGGTCGTAGCGAGCATTTTGCATCCCACACCGGCAGTGGCACTGGAGCAGCCGGTGGTCGCAACACCGCTGTCAAGACCATAATCCAAGTCAAGGATGAAGGGCTAGGAACGAGAGAAGAGGTCGATTACTTTTCTGTCAAAGGGACCGTGATTTATATCAAACAGGAAAACATGTCGTACCCAGCATGCTCGAGTGAGAACTGTAACAAGAAAGTCACCGAGGAGGATGGTGCTTGGCGCTGTGAAAAGTGCAATGTTACCCATCCAGCCCCGCAATGGCGCTACATGATGACTTTGAGTATTGCGGACCAATCCGGACAAATATACCTGAACTGTTTTGACGATGTCGGGCGCCTTGTTATGGGCATGAATGCCAACCAATTGGTGGATCTCAAGGAAAACGACAATGAGCGAGCAACCAAGGCTTTTGACGACGCGAATTTCAAAACCTATACCTTTACGTGTCGGGCTAAGATGGACACTTATCAAGATCAGTCAAGGTATGATTTTACTCAACTTGGGCCAACTAACATACTGACACAACATGTAGAGTCCGTTATCAGGTCCTTAACGCACTACCAATTGACTTTAAGCAAGAAGCCCGCAAGCTCACCGAGTTGATCAAGGGATACAATATTGACTAGGATGCACAAGATTTAATGTGGAACGATTGGTAAAATGGTGAGATGGTGTGAGAGACATTTATTGCTGGATGGGCGGGTTCTGGAAGGGCCAATGATAGTACTTTTTGCTCATGTTATGGCGTTGGAATTAGGGCATTTGACGTGTAAATGAATCCACATTCCAATCACCTATATTCATCTTCTGAGCCGCTGGTAATTAATCCAAAGTTCTGCTAACAATTCGGAATGGCGAAGATTTTGGTGGAACCGAGGATTTATCTCCAGCTTGTGGCAGGAGTGGGCCGGAAGAGCGTCTCAGGATGGTGGAAACTTAACCCTACATAAAAGGGGAAACAAAACAGACACCACATCAACACTGTATAGCATTTTTTTCAAAGTGCTCTACATTTTGCAACTATTCTTTGTCAACTTCAACCACCATCCTGCAACGCTGACAACCAATTAAGGAGTTTGAAAGCAGCTGTCAATTCTTGTGCTTTTGGAAACCCCTGGAGGTACTCTCGCAAGCTCGTCCACATCGGGAATCCCTTGCACTTGCATCGTACTACCATCAACTTCCAACAAGGGAGACGCGCCTGCAACCTGCCAAACCGCCCGCCCCCAAGTGCCATTATCAACGCTATATTTTGACCTGCAGATCCCCCTCATTCTATCCGTTTTCCGCACAACCTCGAGCGGATGAGGCCGATGGCAGCACCTTTCTTTAGGATTGATGGGATCGTCTTCTCACACACACAAAATAGGCGAAACGATAAGCAGTAGATTACTTGTAGAGCGAACTAACAGACAGAAACCCCCTTTTCCCTTTTTTCTCAGTCATCTACTGTAGGACGGCCTAACATCGGCCAGAATAGGAAGACCGAGTCCTAGACATAATGCAGGTTTTATATCTCTCTCTAGAATTACGAGTAGCTTGACGCACTAAGGCATGTCATGACAGTTTTCCCCGGTTCTCAGGATAAATACCGTACGCCCTTCCCTGTCTTTTCTTGGAGGGTGCAGATCTAGTACTCTATCAGGAGTACTGGGTCTGCCAGATCCACGATGCCTGTGATGTAGTCGCCAATCTAGCAGCAAGAGACGGCAGGCGGCAGTCGGCTCGATCACACAATTTATCACCTCTGGCACGTGTCCTACCCTCCCCTGTAACCCTCCTTAGGCCGTGTCGCGGAGCTAAGATACGGCCTAAGGAGGGTTACAGGGGAGGGTAGGACACCCTATTAAGTTATACCCTGGTTTAGTACTAGGGGAGAAGAGGGAAGGTCTAAGAACTTATAGTAATTACTTAGTATTTATTATTATATATAGTAAGCTAAAGAATAACTTCGTATAAGTTAGTTATTAACATTATATTTATAATTATATAAAACTATATTTATAAATTAAGGTTAAGTCTTTACCTTGATACTAGTTAGCTAGCTAGCTAACTAAGGTTAAGTCTTTACTATAATATATAGTAAACTAAATAACTACTTATAGTTATTAATAATATATTTATAATTATATAAAACTATATTTATAAATTAAGGTTAAGTCTTTACCTTAGAGCTACTACCTATAATCTAAGGTAAAGACATTATTTTAATTAAGTTTAGGCTCTTTATATAGTCTATAGTAAAGACTTTACTTTACTTTATATTTTAAGGTAAATAATTTACTTTAATTAAGTATAAGCTATATATATATATTCTAAGGTAAAGACTTTACCTTAATTAAGTTTAAGCTCTTTATATAGTCTAAGTTAAAGACTTTACTTTAATTAAGTATAAGTTATATATATATATTTTAAGGTAAATACTTTACTTTAATTAAGTATAAGCTATATATATAGTCTAAGGTAAAGCCTTTACTTTACTTTATATTCTAAGGTAAAGACTTTACTTTAATTAAGTATAAATAAGATATTATCTAATATTAACTCTAAAGTAGTCTTATAGAGTTATATTTAAGTATATAAAGAATCTTCTCTTCTATAAATATTTGTTTTATTACTAGCTTATATACTAACCTAAGTTTCCTACTATATAGAACCTACTTATATAAAATAGAATAAAAGTATATAATAAAGAAGGGGTATATACTAGGGCTATATAACCTAGGTTCCTACCTATAGTAGTACTTAGCTCTCTAGCTATCTAAATATAGCTCTTCTAGCCCCTAGCCTTCTATATACCTTATAGTAAATTATATATTCTCTAATATTAATCCTAAGGTAGTACTATAGAGTCTTGTTCTTACTATATAAAGAACCCTCTCTTCTACTAATATAAATTCTATATTCTCTAATATTAATTCTAAGGTAATACTATAGAGTTTTATTCTTAGTATATAAGAACCTTCTCTTCTACTAATATAAATTCTATATTCTCTAATATTAATCTTAAGGTAGTAAGTACTATAGAGTATAAACCTAGCCTCTAGTAGTAATTATTAGTATAAAGTAAATAGTAGTAGTCTATAATAATATCCTCTTAAATAATTTACTAAATCTAGGCTTACTAAATAATTAATTATATGTATATATTTAAGTATATTAAGTAGAGAAAATACCGTTTATTATTTTTACTAAAGGTTTCCATATTATTAACCCTAAGCGACTAAAGCTATCAAGTACTACCCTGTTAAGTAAGGTACTAGTAAAGGATAGAAAGTTAAGTAAGCGTTTAGGTTATAGTACTAGTGAATAACATTCTAGAACTTAGATAGCTTTAGTTAGAATAGATATAATAAGTATTAGAGCATTTAAAATTATAGATTATATTCTAGAAAGTAGATAGCTTTAATAAGTTAAGAGTTAGTAGTAGTACTTATAAATAATATTTTAAAAATTATAAGATAACTAGAAGTAGAATAATCTTTATATTAAGTTTATTATATAAATATTAGGTTAATGATATACTTAAGTAACTTATCTTATAACTCTTAAGAACTAAGCTATATAACTTTAATCTCTCTTACATATAAACTAGTAATAATTATTTTAGCTATACTAGTAAAGAGAGTAATCTTAAGAAGGTTCGACTCGTTCTTAGGATTATCCGGGTTATTTTAATAAGTACTCTAAGTACTCTAGTATATAATAATAAGCTGACTAAGGGCGCGGGAGAGCTCTATATTTTAATAGTACTAAATTCTAAATAGAGTTCCCTTTACTAAGTATTATTTAAGACCCTTATATATAATATACTATTAGTAAACCTCTTAAGAAATATAATAATATAATAGGTCTAAAAGAGTAAGCACTTTAGAAGCCTTATCCTTATATTTAAGTTAGCTTAGCCTATAGATAGAAATATTATAAGAATTTAACTTATATTGTTAATACTTTAGATTTAAATAATAGTATATCTAAATTAATTTTAATACTTATTACTTAGAAAGACCTCTATTATAATATTATCTTAAGTAAGATTAACTTATTATAGATCTACTAAACTCTATACTAGTTAGCTATTATAATAAGTAGAAAAATTAGGAAGGGAGGGAGGTAATAAAGATATTAATAGTATAAATAATAAAAGGTTTTAGTAATTCCTATATTAAATAGTTATTAAGGTTATAGGGGTGAAGGTTAAAGGAAATAAGGTTAAAGGAGTTAAGGTTAGAATTAAAAAGTAGATAGTAAGGTAATAGAAATAGAGTATTTAAGTACTTAATAATTAAAGCGCTATATTTATATTTAGTAGTAAGTAGCTATAATATTATTACCTTTAATTTTAAACCCTAACGTTTAGAGTATATTATTAAGAGGCTAAGATATATTAGTTAAGAAAGATATTATAAATATAGAAATTAGAGTAACTATAATTTAGGCGTTTATATACGTATTTAACTACTTTTATCTTATTCCTACTATTATATCTTAGTATATAAATCCTATCAAGAAAAGTAGTTAATTACTAATAGATATAAATATAAACCTACTAGTAATATTAGAATAAACTAATAGTATTAGAAGAAATATAATATATTTAATTATTTATATAATAAGTAGTAATTTATACTACCTAAACCTATTAAAAGGGTCTAGCCTATATTTATACTTTAAGTTCTTAAATTAGCTCTATTATAACTACCTTATATATATAAAGGTAACTTTCTATAACTTATACTTATTCGGCTTTACTATAGGAGTAGTAATTAAGGTATATAAACTAGTCTTCTCTTCTTACTCCTCTAACTTCTCTTCTTCTCTTTAACTACTATTATAATAATAATATCTTACTATAATACCTTTTCTCCCTCTTACTCCTTACTAGTATTACTACCTCTAATTAACCTACCTTCTTCTTATAAATATAGCTATGTCTACCTTTATACTAATTAATACTTCTATATCTAGCTCTTAACCTTCCTTATCTACTACTAGCGCTAGTAGTAATAATAAACGACCCTATTAACACTATAGCCCCTAGGGTTATTACCTTAAAAAACAGAAGCTTATATAAGCGTATAAACAGGTTTATAAAATTAAATACTCTATAATAAACCATCCTAAAAAATTAATCTAACTAAGTATATAGGTTATATTATCTTTAGCTTCTATAGCTAATAATATAAAGAAGACTTATAAGTACTTTCTATAAGATCCTACCTTATTACTTTTACCTTCCGCTTAGCTAAGAGAGTCCTAGTAAAGAGTAACTTCTATTTCTACTACTACTAATTCTATACTACTAAGCGTTAAGCGTAATACCCTAGCTATATTTAATACTAGTATAGAATAGGCGGATTTAGCTAGTAGTTACCTTACTGATAGTTAATTATAAGTATAGGTATAAGTATATTTAGTAATATAAGGTTAGGAGGTGTAAAGTAATAATATTCCTAATACAGGATAACTTAGAACCCTAACCCTCTTAGAATAACTATTTATTTATAATAAAGTATAAAATAGAAAAGGCTTAGGTATTACTAAAGGAACCCGCTTATTAAATTCTATTCTAGCTTAGGCTTATAGAAAATAAAATAAATAGAAGTATACTAAATACTATAAGTAAAATAGCGCCTTAGGCCCTACCTATACTAATATAAGCCTTAGTAATAGAAAGTATTATAACTATATAAAGGATTACTCTCTTTATAATCTAGAAGAAGGTAAGTAATATTACTTCTTTTTAATATAGATTACCTACTAACTAGTTATTTATAGCTTTTATAATACTATAAAAGTCTGCTAGAGAGGGTAGGC